AGTGAGAAGATGCTTGTGGTAAAGATAGAATTTCACTTTGAATGATATGCATTATAAAACAATGAACAATAAAAGAATTAGTGATCCGCGATGAATCTGGCAGTGATGCTATTATTTTTTTATTATTTGCTAAAAAAGACATAAGACAGCAGAGAAAGAGACATGAAACCAGGGCAGCTGTTTGGAAACACTGAGTTCCACTGAAAAATATCTGAGGCAGAGACCAGTTGATGCTGAGTTCATCCCGTTTTCACCACTTAATTTCTTTAACTGTCGCTGTTTTCAGGGCTGCCTCTTGCTCTTGCCTCCCCACAACCCTACTTTGAATAAATAGATTGATGGAAGGATTTATTAAAGAAAATTCAAATTTCTTTTTAAAACTCACATATTATATTGTCCACTGTTCCATTTTTATAAATGTGATGAAATAATTCACTATTGAGGGGCATTTTTTAAATGTATTGATGTGTTTTTTGTAATATATAGAAACCTGAATAATATGCCAGTTTTCTTGAATGCAGTTTAGATTTGTATAACAACAATTCTTCTGCCATCAAGTGTGTGACTGACAGAGATGAAGGCTTCTAGATGACCTATCTGAATAAAAAAGATTGTGTGTAAATATGTGCAGAGCTGACGGTCGCTCAGAGCAAAAATACTTTTAGAGGTGCCTTGTAATTTAACAACACAGAACTGAAGAGCAGAAGCTAAAATCCATAAAGACCAAACCAGCAACTTCAATAAGAAATTTTCACACAACCTCCCAATAAACCCAGTGATCAGACTAATAGCTTGGTATTCTTTATCAACTTCTAAATACTGTTGTCAGGCTGCTGGTCAGCTTTTCCCGAACGTGGTTAACACAGTCTATGACACATAAAAACAGAAACGTAAAGTTCAAAGAGTTGGCATCTACATTTCTCCACTGAAGACATGAAATCAGTGTTCAGGATAATATTCCATTTAGTATGGAAATCCCTCTTTAATTCATGACTTAATGGTGCAGTGCTTTTGTGGCAGAATAATAGTTTTGTCTGCACTTGCAGCTCCTTGTGTAACTTTACAGTTGTTGCATAGTTAAGTCTATTTGTGCTGATACAATGTGTTTCATAACTGCTGAGCAGACTCTTTTTAAGTCAACGGGGTCCTCCAATTAGCCAACACTTCAGGGACATGTTGAATGTGGAGATTATTGGATGAGAATTTACTGGCTGTTTGTACAAGCTTGAGTTTGGAAGTAGGGTTTCAGTGCATGTAAGAGCAGCTGAAGGATATGTGAGGCTTGATGATATTTGGGAAGTTTATTATGTTGTTTAATTCAGTCAAATTCCTGGATTCCTGCGCAGTTTGTGTTCTGTGTGTGTGTGTGAGTCAGAGAGCCTGCATTCGTTCACATCTGTGTCTGAATGTGTACCCTCTTTCCTTCCGTGATGCTGTCATTATGCTTGAATGCCTGCTTGGTCAGCAACTGTCACAGCAGGTAGCATGACGTTTCACTCCCTAGGAGGGCTTTTAGCATGTTTGGCTTTTGTGCTCGTGAAGTCTGAGTTATTTTAGTGAGCTTCCTTAACCAAGGCTGTATTGCTTTCAGCCATACCTTCTGCTCCCTAATTAGAAGCATATGTGCGTACTGTTAGCACGGATTACAGATAAGCACGAAACATTTCAGGTTTGCTATTAGTAACTTAAGAAATACACTCTGCTTTCATGGCAAGTTAAAGGTTTAGTTGAAACAAGACTAACTGATCACCTGCAAATTTGTTCCCTTCTGTAAAAACAGCAGTTTGGGATGTTTTCAGGGTAGAAACATGCTGTGTTAACAAATGCTAAAAAGGAAAAAAAATGTCAGCAATAATATGATAGAAGAAGGACCTGCAGTACCTTGGCAAGCATTATAAGGTATTTTTCAATCTGAATTCCATCACTCTACTTAAATGAAAGATTATTCACAACTGAAAAAAACAAACATTATATTTGCTAACCTTTACAGGAATGGATGTCTAAAGGTCTAATTGTGCAAAGAACCCAAAAGTTACATGTCAGGCTCTGTAGACCATAGTGCAGAAATTCCATCTGAAGTAACATTGTAAAGAAGACAGGGAATAAAATCTTATGAGGGATTTAAGGGACTGATAATAATCAGTTGTTTGAAGATATTCCTGCTAAATGTGTTGTGTGATACCATTTATAATTGTGCAAAACTGTAATTTATAAAAATATTAAAATTTGAATAAAATGCTGATAAACTTGTATAGAATCGATAACAGAGAGCTGGTACATCTAGCTTTACTTTTCTAGAAAAGTTATTTTCAGAACCTTCAGTTTCACAAAATTAGAAGAACACATGGAATCAGACACACACGCGCGCACAAATCCGGTTAGAATACATTTCCCCAATTAGCATAAGATTAACTGACCTCACTTGTCATTTGACCTCCAATGCTTATAGCTCACACACACATAAAGAGAGAGAAAAAAGAGATTGCGACAAAACACTAGAATTACTTTTAATCTAGCATCTTTTATGGAAATGCTTTTCCCCCCTCCCTTGTGTGACACAGCTATGATTTAACGGGCTCTCAGACTGCTACAGATTTACCTGCTGTTTATTCTGCCATAAAATAGCTTTTGGCTTTGTTCAGCCGGTTGAGGGGGTGCACTTCTGTGGGGGTGGTAGGCACACTGCGATCACATCCTCCAATGTGTCAAAAGCAATTAGGATGATCGGAGAGTATACCCTATTATGTGCGGAGAGGTGTGTGCTGTGTGCTGTTAATTAGAATGATGAGTAGGCTTTAATAACCCAGCACACACCATCAAATACAGACGCCGTCTTGTTTTTTTCTTATTTTTATTAGACTTATTTTTTTTCCCTTTAAACGTAGAATTCACAAGGCAATTTTGCAGATATAGGCTGCCTTAATCACACTGAAGTCAAAATGATTAGTGAATTAATTGTCAACTAAAGAGAGAAAATAATATTACTGTATTAAGAATGACTTAGATGTGTAACTTCTACCAGCATTGTAAAAAAAGATAGCACAGCAGTGAATAACGGATTAAGATATATTAATGATGTTTCAATACAGTCTTTCTTGCATGGCTGGTGCCATCAATTTTAAATTATGTATTTGATTTTAAGTCTGCTTTCAATTTCTTTAAAAATATACACTTAGCACAAAGTTTTGAAGGAGGGCGATGGTGCTGTTCTGACAGTGCTGTGCCATTGCTCCATTCTTGCAAGACTTTGCTGGAAGACATATCTTTCCAAAAGGCCTTGCATCGACAATACACATTTTTCCCCGTATTACCATTTCTTTCTGTTTAAGCCCTTTCCCACCCCATTTAAAACTTCAAAGACTTCTTGAATGGAAAAATGTGTACACTGTAGGAATAAAGGCTGTCTGTATTCTGCAATGCAATGGTTTCTTTGTTGACAACATGCCACTGAACGCAGTGAAACTACAAATTAGATAGAGACACTTGTGACAGTTTGAATAAGCTTTGGTCCAAGAATTTGATAGTCAACTACATTTTTGCGTGACAAGCATTTCATTATCCAAAACGACCTTCTCTCTCCAGGGAGCGCTGAAAAATTGGGTTCTGCTGTAATTAGGCAAGCTCGCTGACACAAAAAGAAGCACCCAAGGTAAGGGAGGATGAAAGATAGGGAGGATGAACAGAAAGGATGAATGTAGGGAAAGTGAGAGGAGGAGGGGAGCAGATAATGAAGGCAAGGTGACAGTATGAAAGAGTGCAAGAGGAGGAGTGTATGTCAAGAATCAAGCGGAGGGGGGTGGGGGTCGGGGGGGGGATGTTTGCCTGCGGCCGCCTCATGGTGTGATGTCGTCGAGTGTTCTCACCATGTTCAAAGAGTTCTGTATTAGGGGTCTGTGTTATCAGCTTGCCAACTAACTTATGTTGGCTCGAGCATCTCAGCGTGTCCTCCCGCTGCTTTGTGTCACTGTTAATTTTGCACACAATTGTTTAATTCAGCCACAAGACGCAGAGGAGGTGAGAAACACACTTGTGCAGAAAATGCTGATTATGAAAAGTGCCTAATGGAACCCCCATGAGTTAATACTAGCCATAAACCAGAAAGCTACATTTGAGGTGAAGCTGATTTATATCTGTATTACCCTATCTATTATGGAGAATGATGTTTGAATTTCAGCGTAGAGGGCTACGAAGAAATATAATTTTCCTCTATTGATCTTCCGTCAGCTGGTTCTGGTGCTATTCGTAAAAATTTCCCCATAAAGTAAGACTTCAATAGACTTAAGTTAGAAAGATTACAATGCTACATTGGACATTTACTCCTGTCTTTTATGAGTGGCAGTATGTGATTAGAAAAAGCTGTCACCCCCAGCAACAGTTACTTTACTTTATGGCAAATCAATATGCCTGGACAGGATGGAGATCATGACCAAATTATTCAATGGCAGCGATTTGTAATTTAATTATTTTCAGCCTTAGTTATCTAACAATTTTCCTTATAAACAGAAGTACTCAAAGCCCTTTTTGCTTTGTTGAGATATGTTTGAGAATATATTGAGTACCTTTTTAAGGGATTGTTAAATGTGAAAAAATGTCATTAATCGGATCACATTACTCATTTCTGATTATTTCAAAGCCCTGATTTTGTCTGCACATCTTCAGTTTCTATGGAAAACCAACAGAAGGATGCAAATCCCCTCTGATTCAATACTTCATTAGTAACTAAATAAAGTAAATTTACAAAACCGCTTTTTGGCATTGTTGAGGCCGCTGTCATCACTACTTTAGTTTGTACTGTAATAACCAGATAAATTCCCTTTTATCCTCATTGTGTTGGAATAAAAGAAAAAAGCAGGGCAGAATTTATGTGAAGATTAGTTTTTCGAATATAAATGAGACACGTCACCACGAGCGGACTAGTTATTAAACTCCTACCTGCCCCTTTCCTGTGGCTCCTTCTATTCACCTCTCTCTCCCTGACGCTCTCTCTTTTTGTCTGACAGAGACAGTGATGGATACGAGGACAGCAACGGCTGAGCTTGGCTGGATATCTTTTCCTGCCAATGGGGTAAGAACAATGTGAAAATGTGTGCTGCGTGTGTGCTTATGTGTGGGTAGCCATGGGGAAATCAGTTTGACTACACCTAACAGTGGCCTATTAACGAGTCACTCAAAGTCCTAATTACACCTGCAAGGTGAAATCAATTAACCGCTACGGTGGCAGAAAAAAAGGCATTCCAAAAGATCATACAAATGCAGCACACAAGTCCGAGAAATGGAAAATGTTAATTAAGTTGAGCAGAATAGATAGCCTTTCTCTCCTCTTTCTTGAGCACTGCTGGTTTCTTTAAATTCCAGCCTGGCAGCTAGCTGGTCACAGTGGTCTGCATTGCGAGTGTGTTGGAGGTGAGTGGCTCTAATTGTGATGAATGGCTGTCCCCGTGCAGCACGGACCAAGGTAGAGAAGACAAAAAGATAGTGAGAGAGGCAGGAGAATTGAATAAGACTAAATGGGGAGGAAAGGAGGGATAAAAAACTTTAATTTGTATCATGTCTTAGTAAACCCATGAATCATTTTTGCCTGTTATGTCACTTCTCCCTTTGCCTGGTCCCCTCTCATTCCCCGTGCCCTTTGTTCAAACCTTCCCCAGTGGGAGGAGGTATCGGGCTATGATGAGAACCTCAACACCATCAGGACATACCAGGTGTGCAACGTGTTTGAACCCAGCCAGAACAACTGGCTTCTTACCACTTACATCGACCGGCGGGCGGCGCAGCGCATCTATGTGGAGATCCGCTTCACTGTGCGGGATTGTGCCTCCATACCAAAAGTCCTGGGCTCCTGCAAGGAGACGTTCAACCTCTATTACCTAGAAACTGATAGAACTGTGTCAGAGAATACCAAAGGAGTGGAGTACTGGGCCAATGCCCCCTTTCTAAAGGTAAATGCTCCAAAGATGACGCTGAAACACAGATTAAGACGTGAGAAGCCACTGGTTCCAGTAATGTTGTAACAGCATGAATTATCATCTTAAAAGTCATCTTAATTTGTTTTCAGATGGATTTTAAAAAGATTTTATTGAATCCTTAAGTTGAAAGGAAATTACTTCTAATCAGCAATAATGTCAAAATCTCCATTGTTCCAGATTTCTTAAATGTTTGATTATCATTTGCTTTGGATCAGGGATTAAATTTGTGTTGACATGTTGGTCTTTGCTATCAAGCAGCTTTTGATATGGGTTCATGTCAAGCCTTTCTTTTTTATTCTTTCAGGTGGACACCATTGCGGCTGATGAGAGTTTCTCCCAGGTTGATTTTGGGGGCAGGCTGATGAAGGTTAACACAGAAGTGAGGAGTTTTGGGCCACTGTCCAAAGGCAGAGGGTTCCACTTGGCATTCCAGGATTTGGGCGCTTGCATGTCCCTTCTGGCTGTCAGAGTGTTCTACAAGAAATGTCCCAGCATAGTGCAGAACTTTGCTTTTTTCCCAGAGGTAGTGACCAGAATTGAGTTAAGGTGTTGGTAGTTTCATCAAATCTTTTGCAAACTTCGGATCATTTTTAATAAAAATTCTTCTCATTTTGTGCAGACGCTAACAGGGGCAGAGTCCACCTCATTGGTCATTGCCAGAGGAAGCTGCATCCCAAATGCAGAAGAGGTAGATGTGCCCATAAAGCTCTACTGTAATGGGGATGGAGAGTGGATGGTGCCCATCGGCAGTTGCAGCTGCAAGGCGGGATATGAGCCAGACAATGGCAACGTGTGTAGAGGTAAATGTAAAATAGGCTTTTGAGAACGAAAATATTATTTAAAAAAAATAAAACTCTATACTTTAAATTGGGCATGTAAAATTCATGTTTTGAGGCAAAACTAACAAGCAAATGTGACAAAAAAAATCAATATCAAGCAAACATTGTTTTCAAAATTCAGCTACAAAAAGAATACAATGCCAGTAATAGAAATGTGGGAGCATGCGAAGCGTAACCATATACAAAAAATATCAATATTAGATCACTCTGGGTCAAATATAAACAGCCCTATGTTGCAAATAGCATGAACATTTATGTTGTATTTTTGCCCAAGAAGGCAACCCACATGTCCACATGATGACGTATATTGAGACACACTTGGATGAAAATGGTCCAGAAATAGTCAATGTTCCAAATATTTCCACCTCTTTTCCTGCCTTTTTATATCTGGCCTCCTTCCCCATTTCCTCTCCAAAGCAGTACCCATAATTTCTTATCCTCTCCAGAGAGTCTCATCCTTTTTGCGCGTCCATGTGTGTGTGTGGGGGGGAGTGTGATGTATGCACATATGGTGAAATGATAAGTGAGGCTGCTTCAGTTCATGTTAATTAGTTTAGCATGTTCCAGTTAGATTAGTGCACTGCAAATTTGTCCTGAACTGGCAGGGAATATTCCAAAGAAATGGAAAGAAAGGAAGAAAGAGCATGAATTGAGGAATGATATGCTTTCTACCTCGGGTTTAATATATTTGGTGCATTAACGAAAATGTTTGCCAAGCTCTTTGTGGTTTGCACAGTTAATATTTTTCGTCATTTCAGTGGGTTTGAATCATGGATTATTGTGATTAAGTATCAAAGTTTTGTTGTGGGAGACCTGTTTTAGTATTAAGAGTTTTAGTTAAAAGAAAACAGAATATTTCTAAGGGAGTACACAAGAGTCAAAGTAGAAGCAAGGAGAGTTGCATTTGACCAGCTGAGTTCATAACAAACATGCTCACGTGTTACTGGTTTTGTTTTGATTTAATGTATTTGTGGACCCTCCTGTCAATCCTCTTTTAGTTAGTGGCATATTCTTAGATGATACATGATATGTTTGAGTCTGCTCACTGAAAAGGGTCTCAGTGACAGTGTGTGATAGCAAGTTTGCGTACACATGCTTTATGTCCTTTACTCAAAGCTTCTTGCTGAAACAGTGAGTTAAGGTGTCTTGGAGCAGAGCATGTCCTGCCTGTCTTCTCCGATCTGGCATCTTTTAGGTTTGCCTTTCTGCCAATCAGCTGATAACTTCTTGGCAGGAAGCTGGACTCACTCTTGGAACAGATGGCCATCTTTTTGTGTGTTTGTGTGAGGGTTTGAGCATGTCAAGCCACAGAGATGGTGGTTATTTTGCATCAAATAAGCATATTGTGCAAACCATCCGGCAAAACTGGCCTGTGATCAAAGCAAGGCATGTGTGTTTGTGTGTGTGCTTGAAAGAGTAAGAGAAAAGTTGTGTGTGTGTGTTAAAATTCTGATCATGTTTTTAAATGCATCACACTATAAATGCTGGCTTTGCCACTGATTTTGAAAATTTCATCCACTGTGTTCATCAAACAAAGCTTTCAGATTTTTCTAACCAGCAGGCAATACGCGCGCGCACACACACACTCACAGATATAAGTTTTAATAATTGATTAGTTGAGGTTTGTGCCAACTTTAGACAATTGTCAACCACATGGTCTCTGTGTGACTTTACACAGCCAGCAAAGGGCAGTGAGAGAAACATGGAAATGGTCTGCCTCGTTGAGCGGAATTCTTTCAGCGCTTACTGCTTTATAACCATGTGCTTGATTTTTATCTAATCCTTATTTAGCCTTTTTTTTTATCTTTACATTCCCAGAGACAAGCACCTGGGATTTTTAAGCACTCAACCTTATATTGTATATTCATAAGGTCCGAAAATGTGATGCTGAAAAGGATTAGAAATTTCATGCCAACATAATAATTCATTAGTATATAAAAAAAAAAAAACAATTCTAATTAATTTTTGGTCTGATATCAGATTGTTTTTTTTGTCCATCTATTTTTGTCCCCTTCTCTTCTGAGTGTGTGTAAAAATTCAGCCCACATTTTCAGACGGTCTAAATTGGTGGTTACCAGTTTGATATCTGCAGACATTTGGACACACACACATACATATGACTGTACACAGAGGTATCTAGAGATAAGTAATAGAAAGAGGGAGCTAGACTTGTTGCTATGGTGACACGCCCCATGTGTATGAGCAAGGTTGTTGAATAAATGACCTTGACAAGCCCGATGTCTATCTGTCTATTCAAGATAGAAAGAAATGCACACACACTCATACTAAGAGGGACCGACAATCCTGCAGAGAAGCCTTCAAAGAAAGTAAATGACTAGATATACAGAGGGTAACAGAAAAGTAAGCCAACATAGAAAGCCAGAAGGGCTTTGACAAGGTGAGGAAAGTACTGTGGTTTTTTACATTTCAGTTTGTAAGCACACTTTGTAACAGTGTTTGAAGGACATGACACTAATGTGTTTAGATGCAGCGGGATGTAAAGACGCAAATCCTCAGCAACTCTGTAATATCAGTGTTTCACAGCCATATCTTTTTTTTGTTACAAACCTTGAGGTCATGTATTTGTTTTTGTACAGTGACACTAGAGTGATAACATAAATAAAATAAGACAGAGGAGCAGACAAGTCCCTCTGCTGAAGTTTTTTTTCAAGTTCATGGTCGTAGCCTTACAGTAAGTCCAGTGAGAATGTGCTTGTTGCACCACGGCTTCCTAACATGGAGGGGTATTTCTTTGGTTTTTTAAGCTAAAACCATCTCAACTCGATCAAAGCAGCCACTAAAACTTTTGCCTGCTTATGCAGCCGGATGAAATGCTGCTCAGAGAATACTGCAGTCTGTAGTGTTTGTCATAAATCTGCCTTTACTGCTCATGGCTGTGAACTCCACTGATTGAATGGCTGGCTAAGCTGCTGATAAACTCCAACGACCCTGCGGTAGATATAAAGATGTAGGTATAAAAAAGTTGACAGTTAGATAGCGGCATGTTTACCTGAACAGTTCGGTCTCTATGCATTTGCCAAGCTGATTGTTTTACCTTAGATTTAGTAATAATTTACCTTGCTGTGATCATCAAGCCAGCAAAGTATTATTTTGTTATTTTCAATCTGATAAGATATTACATTTAATGTTCTGATCTGTTCTGCAATTTCCTATTATTGCAGATTTTCAACCTTTTTCATATCCTCTTTTGCATTGGAACCCTTTCTCTCTGAAACAATCTTTCTGTTCTTTACACTTGAAAGAATTCCCTACAATCACTTTTGACTAATTCTTTAATGTGACTTTGGATGGACTTTTGGTCGGGACTGGATATTTTCTTTTTTCCAATTATGAAATCTTTACCACTGTTTTTTTTCCCAGATATGTGTCTTGTTAGAGAACCTTTCAAATGAAAAGTGTAGCATTGGTCTAGATAATTCTGGGCTTTATGAAAAGCTTTGCCATCAAATAAAGTATCACTGATATATATTAATATCTGTATCAGTAAACTGCTTTCTGTGTTATTTTTCGAGGGTAATCATGCATAAAACTGCTCACATAAAGGCCTGATCAGGTCCTGTGTTATGATCAGTGGTGTATTTCAATAGTAATATCTGTGTAGTTCAATAAAACTCTGTGGCTCATGCACGGCATAGTATGCAGTAAAACTAGGGAACAGGGAGCAGATTCCTTCTTCTTAAATTGCATTAGAATAAAAGCATCAGCAAACTAAAGATATGACCTCATAGCATTTCAAGGATGGCAACAAAACACATGGAAACAGTCTTACTCATGTTGTTATTCTCCCACTCCCCCTATATTTATCTTTTGATTCCTCATTTTATACTCTTTGTTTTCATCTTTTTCTATTGTTTTTCTCTTTTGGCATTCACTCGTTACCTTGCACCCTTTAACATTTCCGACACTCTAAAGTTCCATCGTTGGAGCTCCATCATTTGGACCTCATTAAAAGGCTACAGTCCTTCTCTCTGCTGCCTTGTAGCATTTATGTAACATTTGCATTTTGACCTGAGAGCCTCTACAGTTTCCTGTGGATAGAGTAGACATTCATGGCTGGGGAAGGAGAAAACAAATTGCAGAAGATAAATCAGAACTGAAAAGGAGAACGTTATAAAAAATCTCATTATTTTTTCTGTCTTTTGGCTGAGTTGTTCAGTTTTTATTCCTCATTTCACAGCTCTCTGTTTCTCTGGTTATTTAGTGTATTCATGTTTGAAATTCCTTTGCCCTCAAAAAATGGTGAATTAACAACAGGCCTTGATGCATTCCGGGCGTGTGGTGTGCAGAGGTGCCTACCTGTCTACAAACCTCAAAAATCCACGTGGCCTTCAGATTAGCACAAAAACAATATGTAGAGAGCTTCATGGAATGGGTTTCCATGACCAAGCCTGCAAAGGCTTAGCATCTATAACATTTATAATCCTAACATAGATGTTAGGGTTATTGTAGTCATTTTATCAGCCTCTCCAAGTGTCACAGAAATGTCCAAATCACTTGTATTCTCATTTCCAGTAAGAGGTTTGTCTACTCCCTGTTCAAATGCATGCAATAAATGAGAATGTACGCAGTCTGAATAAGAGAATACATTATAAGCTCAGCGCAAGCCCCAGGGAAATTAAAGTTGGACGAGACAGACTGACTTTTTTTTTTAGCTTTGTGTGTTCCTGACTTACTGAGTGCTGCACATTAGGTCAAGTGGCCATGAATGTGAATATAAGTGTGCATAGTTTACTTAATCAGCTGAGGATATCAGACTTACCTGAAGGTGATGAGGCAACCCAGTCATTTGTTCTCTGAATGAATGAATGAATGAATTTGTGAGCCTGTCGCAGCGGGATGGGACTTGGCACCCAAGGAACCAGGCGAGCTGGTCTGGTAGAAAAAAAGAGATGGCACAGTTTTTTTTCAGACAATCATTCTGTATCCAAAAAAATGTTTTAATTGGATACAGCTTTTGGAAAGATGGATTGGTGAACTGCATCTGACCCACTTAAAGGAGTCAGAGAAAAAGAGGTTCATTCTCCACTGCAGACAGTCAGTGCACCAGGATTTTGCGTCATGCACAAAATGCTTTTGTATGTTTTGTCAGAACTTTCTGTGCCTTGTCAAGTTTGCAGTACCAGTAATAACTCCCCCGGCGTGCTGTTTGTGTAAGACAAAGTTTACCAAATGTGTTGTAAACAGGAAAAACAAAAGGCAAAGGAATATGATCTTCTTTTTGTTGTTTTTTTCTACTCTCCTTCTCTTCTCAGCTTGTCCTCAGGGCACCTTTAAGTCATCCCAGGGGGCTGGATTATGTCAACAATGCCCGCTCAACAGTCGCTCGACCATTGAAGCTGCCACCCTCTGTGGTTGTCGGAATGGATATTACCGCGGCGACATGGACAAACCGGAGGACATGTGCACCAGTGAGTCAGCCTTTCTCTCTCTGTCAGAGATGCTGAATTACCTTCTCATTAAACCTTCCAGCGGTGCATCTAATTGTCAAGATGACCAATACATGCTTTAGATACCGATATGTGACACATTACAGCAAAGAAGAGGCTGACACCATTGACAGGCTAATTTTTCATCGTTAAGTGAAAAGCCAACATCTGCTTTGATTTATTATCCAGCCCACAGAATTATGCAGCTCATTCAGAGTGCTGCAACACTCCCATCCTTGTCAGGGGATTTGGGGAGCAGTAAGTAATAATGCTGTTACATTCCTCCGGCTTCCTATTGAACTGAATATGTGTTTATTGTGTTGAGGAGGCTACAGAGTTATGCAAGATGAAGCACTGTGTTTGAAAAAAGCACAGCTTCTAAGTTCCACTGAGAGCCGGAGTAAGTAGGTTGAAACATGAATCATTTTGGACTCAGACTCTGAAACCGTGTATACCTGTGTGTATTTCACAGAAAGTGTGTCGGCACACATGTGTTTCTGCACATCCTGGTGACCTGAATACGACTTCATGTTTTGACAGACTGAAAAAAAGAGCTGTGGTTTAGTCTTTTTCTGTTCTTCAGTTTATTTCTTGATGCAATAGTCTTTATTTTTATTTTTTTCATTAGCGGTTTGGTTCACTGCGTCAGATGGACACTTGGGTGGCTCACAAAATGCACTGTTTTGCAGCCGTGGCCATGGCATCATCAGAGTTACAGCTAGTTACGTGTTAAAATTCAATTCCAATGACCGGCAGGTACTTGGACAGCTTTTTAATGTACCTGACATGTTTTATTATGCTCTATGTTATCAAGAGGACTCAACTAGGAATTGTAATTTTAGTTGGAGAGACTGCAATGCAGCTTTATGTGCGATCAGTTATGACAAGTGTCGGCTACACGGAGAGAAATAATCTCTTCCACCTTAATTTTTGTCTGATGCTTTCCCTCAATAATCTTTATGCAGCATCCCTCTCACAGTGAACATTTCTTCGGAAACTGTTTACCTCTCCCACCAGCTCGGAGAGCATTATGTATCCATCAGCATTCTTTCAAGTAGTTATGCTATTCTTTGGGGTGAATTGTTCCTTTTTTGACCAGCAAAGTCCAATTTGACTCTTTCAGCCTTTATCTGGTGCTTTTAAAGTACTGCTTTTTGGTCCAAGAAGGTAAGTCCTTTTTTCAGTGTCTACCCTGCTGATAACCAAAATTCAGATCCATAAGGTTGCCTTTGAGCTGGAAAAAAAGCTGGAATTGCTTGGGCTGCATCCCACCTACCAATCCTGAGAAAACAATCCAAAAAATGGGAATATTGGATCACTTTGGGACAGATTAATTATTATTCATGCAAAAATTGAAAATGCTTATCTGCATTGACTTGATGGTTTTAACTTTTAGATGGTCTTCACAAGCTTTTAAACAAGGCAAATGTTTGTTTTTTAGAGAACAGTTAAGCAGTAAAGAGCTTTACATAAAACTTAAAAGCATTAAAACCAAATGTAGAGAAAAAATATAAATTGTTGTGTGGTGCTTCACCTTATTGTGCTTCAATTACATTTTCATTTGTCATTAGTTCAACACCCTGCAATTCTATCATTAAATTGGGGAGATAGGTCTTAGTTTGTTTATAGGTGTCTGGCAGGGGATCATTAGGTAAACATGCCTACTTAGATGCAAAGAGGTGTGCGAGTGTTATGCTAGGAGTGTGTGGGTATTCTGTAATTTGTGTCCTAATGATATGGTGAGGAGTTTGGTGGAGCAGCATGGATTTGGTCTTTGTCTATTTTAAATGGTCTGCATAGTTGAAGCAGTAAAGCTAAAAATATAATCAACACTTTTCTTCCTCCTTCACAATTATCTGTGCTCCTGTCGTGAACTCTGCATCTGACAGTTTGTTTTCAATTAAGGGCTGCATATGAAAAAGTACTATGGAGGGAATCTCTGCGTAAACACGCTGCACTCACACACCTGTGTGTGTGTGATTATGAATGCAGTATCCTGAGCAAAAATGCTTATGAAAGGACTAGTCGTTAGATTTCCAACCCCCTACCAGTGGCGCTTTGATTTTGCAGCATGGCTTTCTCTCTCTGTTCAAGAACGTACACACTTAGACGTTTTCAACATGGTCATTTCTTGCGATAAGGATTTAGCATATGTCAAGGTTGAACACCCATTTCAACTTAACCACTCTTTTTACTTGTGCTTCACATTCCCTGTGATGTGTGTACGTACAAGGAGAAGAGCACCCGCTAGGCTTAACCTTGTGAAAACTGGCTGTGCTTTGAAGACTCGGTTTGACACTGACTGAAAAGAACTAGAACCAGCAAATGAGGAACCAAATAACTTCTAAGAGATTATCTTTTTCTATGGAAGTCTATGGCTTCACTTGCTTGTGCCTCCATAGTTTCTCTGCATGTTTGCACATACAGTTGGAAACTTTGCAGTTACTATGGTTGAAACTGTAAAAAAACAAAAAAAAACTGTCTTGGCTGGTGTGCAGGAAAAAAATAGGCTCCTCTTGACATCCTGATGACGACAGTGGAATCCTGAACATAGATAAAGGCTGCTCTGATGGCCTAGATTGAAGGGTACAGGATGCTATCTCTGTTGGAACTTATGATGCAATATTCAAGAATACACCTCTTCTCAGCTTGTATATTGTGTCTGTAACAGAGAAAGAAATCGTTACCAATAGATAAGGAAACATTTTTGGACTTGTTTGTTCAAAGACGTTTGTGAAATTTAGCTATGGCCTTAAATGAAAATACATTTCTTAGATTATTCAGTTATTACTATTATCACTCTTGTTGTAGAGACACAGACAGTAAAAGTCAGATGGCATTTTATTATTCAGATTCATACTTTTTTTAATAAAAAGTACTACTTTTTTGTAAATATGTTGTATTTACACTTAATTGTAATGACATTTTATCCCTTTCGATTTAAAGTATCCCAAAAAATGGTGGCGAAGGTGGCGGTTCATTTCAGTTGGACGGCAACAGTAGCTCTGATGAACTGGACTTTTTTTTTAGTCTTTAGTCCGTTGTTGTTGTTACGACTGTTTTTGGCACTGACAGAGGAGTGCATTCCCACATAACGTTTTACCCATATATCACCACAATAGAGTTATTGAAATTAAAGTGATGAATATTCATCGTACTGGCAAGGCCAGGATAAGGATTACAGACACTGAATGTAGATGGAAGACTGAAAATGTGCGCTATGAGTGTTCATTCCCTTTGAATGCCCTTTGATTTCATTTGCCAGGTGTCCCGTCAGCCCCCCGTAATGTGGTCTCAGTGGTGAACCAAACATCTGTACAGCTGGAGTGGCACTCACCGCGTGACACTGGGCACCGCGATGACTTGTCTTATAACATCTTATGCCGCCGATGCTATAGCAATGAGCGTCGGGCATGCCAGCCATGTGACGACAGCGTGGTGTTTGTTCCAGGCAAGCAGGCATTGAAGGGAACGGCAGTTGAGATCAGCAAGCTGCGAGCACACACGTCATATACCTTTGACGTTCAGGTTTGTTTCCAGAAAGAGAGGGGAGTGGACACCTCCCAAAAGCTTTGTTTGCACTTTCTTTGTATTTCACATGCTTTTCACTCATGCCTTGAATTGGGTTTGGTGAAAAATGTGTGCCTCGTTCAATTGTGCTGGATGACAATTGTGTTGTACAGCAAGTTGATTCAATAGATCAGTCCTTCTGTGTGCATGTATATCAGCAGAAAGGTCCTCTGTAAATGCTTTTTGGGATCTATTGAAACTGATATGAGGAAAGGATGATTTCAGGGACACTCTTCTAATTTAATTAAATCAAAACATTTTGTGAGCCCTTTTCTCTCAGCAAAATTCTCAAGGGTACTTCAGTTGCACACATGCTTGTTTACGTGCAGATTTTCATGCAAAATCTGCAATTATGCCTCTCAGCTCACAAAGTCACTCTGAAGTCTATAAAGCCAGAGCAAAGCCAAGACTCCAACATTCTGCCATCTTCATCCTAAAACATCCAAAGTCGGGGCTTTAATTAACATCACCTGTATCTAATTATTACAATTTGAGGAAATCTGGACACTAAGTGTTTGTTTGGCTGTTTGGAAACTGTGGCCTATGAGCTGATCGATTTTCAGGCTTCTGTTTAGGGATGTGCAGTTCAGCATCGATTTGCATCAGCTATAAATTATTGATTACATTTCCGATGTTGTGAAGATGACTTTCCATTCAGTAATCCATTATTTATCTGATTTATTATCTGACATGTAACTGTTCTTGGAAGATATAACCGCAGATAAACTTTAAAATACGAAGCACGCCGGAAGGGATTTAAAAAAAAATAAAACGGGAAATAACTGGAATAATGAAAGTAGATTATAATTAATTAAAACTTTAATTTGGTCTTGTTTGCTGCTTAATGTGAAAAAAACTGAGGAAAACTAAATAACTGTCACAACCATAAACTGAACTATTTCAATACAGTGAAATCTAGCCAGCTTCGTCGTATCCAATATGAGATGCTTGAAGTAAGCATTTTAGTAATCTAATATTTATGGAGGTTTTGCAAAGGAGATTCTGTACACATACTGTAGTGGCTTTTTAGAATGTTCCTGTAGGCCTTTCTAAAACCTGAGTTTCTTGGATTTCATGTTCCAAAAAGTATAACCGGGGTATAAGCTAAAACTTTTCTCATGCACTAGCACATCTACTGAATTATTTAAAATTCAGTAGTAATTCAGGTGATTTTTTATTACCTAAAAAATCTTTTGATCTAAATGAATGATCTTATCATTTCCCCTAGAGGTTCAGATCCCAAGTTTAGAAGCACTGGTCCACATCATTGTGTAACAGTCGTTCTTAAAGACTGCCTTGTGGCTGGTTATGCGTGCCTTGAATGAAGGATGGTTGAAATGTGTGCATTTAATGAGAAATGTGATGAGAGATGGTGCAGTGATGTACAGTATGAGAAAAATTACCTGTCAAAATCAGGCTTATAAAGATATGGTAACAAACTGAATTTGTGATCCCATAAATGAGCATGATAATGTTTGCTCTTCACACTGCGCAGGCAGTCAACGGAGTGTCCAATAAGAGTCCTTACCCTGCCCAGCAGCTGTCAGTCAACATTACAACCAATCAGGCTGGTGAGTTGGGAACATAAAGGCTGTTGTGCTTGTGTGTGTGTGTGTGTGTGAGTGTGTGAAACCACGTGTGTGTAAGCATACCCTGGAGCACAGTGGATTATATGTGGGAGGGATGGCTGAAGAGATAAAGGAAATTGAGCTACAGACTTTTAATTCATAAAACATGTTAGAAGTTTGTCATCTGTCTGCCTTCTCCCCCCATTCCCCCTGGTCTTTCTGTCACATGCACCACTTTCATCCCTTTCTTTTACTCTTTTCCTTTGCCTCCCTCTGTTATTCTCTCCTCTGCTGTATCGACTACTGTATAATTCTCAGAGACCATAAAGTAACAGAGTTATTACACCATCAATACTTAATAGAGACAGACATATTTTCACCTCTACCTGAATTTGGATTTAAAAACTGATTTTCTCTGATGGAAAGAACACCATTTACCTCATCTGCTCAAAGCAGGGCCCACTGCTAATCGAAGCATGATGCATTTCTGCCCCGATGCTCTTTGAACACATTAGTTACTGCTGCCGGATGTGATCCCCTCTTATCTTAGAAATCTTTAAGGACTCTACAAAATTAGCTTATTTTCAGGTTGACCGCTTTGGAGGCATTTTTAAGATATGCAGCAGGCTTTGAGTGTATTTTATTGGATCTATAGGGATAAAAAAAACTCAATTCACATTCATGGAACCGTGTAAAATGTAGATGATGGAATTGTGAAAAAAGCCTGAGGTTTTCAGGTGACAGTTTATCCATTCTGTCAGTTTATGGTTACAGTATTGAGTAAGCGTTTGGCTATTGGAAGTATATCAGCATTTATTGAGCATTACCATGATGTTCTGATGATATAGCTGTACCATTTTGTCTGTTTAAGATGCAGCGGTTTCAAACATCATCATATGGACAAACTCAATTATATGTTATGGCTTTATGACTTTTGAAAATACGTAATTCAGTTTAAACTAACATCATGCATCTTACTTTTACGCTGTATGCTGTAACAATCTCATCATTCGGACTCCTCCCTGTCTTCACGTAACGCTACTTAAATCGAGTAAAATGTGACAAAAACAACAATCATGGAAACGCTTGAAATATGTTATTTCTGCCAGCGTCTGGTTCCCAAAAAGTATAGTTACAAATGCATTAGAGATGAAAGTCTTGTTACCCCGTCACTGACATGTGGCAAAGTGTTTCCATGAGCCTTGCAAATGAAACATTTATGGTTGCAGATGATTATCGGCAAAGTATCATACATTACATGTTGCATTTCCATATTTATGATGTCTAATCTTCTTAGTGAATCTTTGAACTTCCTGATTGATTGTGTATTGTGTTTTTATGTGATTTCTTTTTTTTTTCTTTCTAACAGCTCCCTCAGTGGTTCCCATAATGCACCAAATAAGCTCAACAAGCCGCAGCTTCTCGTTGTCATGGCCACCACCTGAACAGCCCAATGGAATTATCCTTGACTACGAGATTCGATACTACGACAAGGTAGAGTGGGATGATAAATGGCTTTGAATGATTTGGAAATTTGGTGTTATGGTCCCCACGGTAATCTGTTTAGAGTCAATAAAACAGACACATCAATATGAACTGCATTGTAGTCATATCATAATCTGTTTCTGACTGTTCTGAAGACTATTAACAGAACATCAGTTCGGCACATCCTCAATCAGAGTGAAAAAAATCCTTCCTTCACTTATTGCAGACATGTTTCTCTATTTTATCTTTTCTTCTTTTTTTTTATTGATGATGTTTTTTTACCGCAAGCTTTTTGTTCTTTAACATGTTCAAAAAGTCCACCAGAGGAGCATGTCACTCACTGATCCAGAGGTGGATTTCTGGTATTCATTTCCTCAGTTTATGTATATAAATATGTTGATTCTTCAAAATGTAATCAAAACAATAGTGTGTGTGAGGGTTTGCTTTTCTTTTCTTATCATACTATACTATTTCCTTTGACTTGACATGGCAGCTGTGAAACTGGTTAATGAAAATCGTTACTACTTAATTAAAGTTAGCCAAAAGCAGAAACCTATCTTTGTGATAATTCTGTTCGTAAATCCTGCAATTGATGCATTTTCACACACATTAGTGTTAAATATTAGAGCAACATTTCATTTGTCACAGAGCTCGCGGTCGTGCTGATAGCTTTGCAGTGACAAAGAGCCTTGCTTTTTTCAATAAAAGGACAGTGATCTCTTTGTGCACAAGACTGAGCTACATTTTAAAGGAACGTTGGAAGTGTTTGATCTGTTTTTTAGATTTAAAATAAATATTTCATTCAATGCACAATTGATTAAAAGGGTTGCAGTGCTACTGGATCATGTTCTACACTACACTGTTAAAACCACTGAAGATCTGTAGAGATCTATGAAGCAATAAGAATAGTTTTACTGTCACAAAGAAACATTTAGAAGAGAAGTTGACAAGCAAATGAGTTTGAAACACTGACATTTAGACATGTTTGAAAAACATATTAGAATATTCCCACATCCTACATTTAAGTCATTTTGCCATCTTTTTTTTTAGAGTCTGATATTTACATATATTCTTTAAAGAGAAATACAACTCCAGTCATAGGCTGCAAGTATAATTGCGTCTCTTTTATTTGCTTAGTGAGATTGTCTCCAGGATTTACTCATCCTGCTGACTGTGGTGAGGCTGACTTCAAATATCTTTGAGGACCTTTGTGTGTTCCAAAAGTCAGCACAAATCCCAGAGAGACTCCTTGGAAAATTTCTTCAGAGCAATAAGCTTTAAGTTAAACCTGGATGGTGAAGATGAATCACCTTTATAACCCAATGTCCAACCACTGACTATGCCAGTAATGTATTGAAAATGCTTTTTAACATTTTAAAGCACACGTTTGTTTTCATCATTCCAACTAGAAGAGGTCCACTTTTTTTGTTCATCTCTTTGTTTGCGTCTTGCCCAGGGCCAGATAAAGTTAGTCCAGCTATCAGTCTCTATATCAACATCTGCCAACTCCTCCTGGGTGATCATGAAGTGTTTTGCAGTCTGATTAGAAATGTAATCCTTCCAGCATGCTCCCAGTGTACCCCAGGGTTTCCTAACAAGTGAAGATTCCCAGAAAATCTCCACAAGGAGACACCCTGAAGGCAACCTTATCTACCCTCTGAGCGTCTTACCCTGCTGTCATCCACAGAAAGGCATATACACCTTCTCTGAATACTGAGTTTTTAAACTCCAGGATATAGATAACAAAAAAATATTCTTGTCCCTATAAGGTCTGAACATCAGCTACATACCTGCAATTAACAACAATGCATGATGTGAAATAGTGTCGTCATGGATTTGATTAATGAAACAGGCCCAGTGTGAACAAAACAGACCCTTACTGCTCCACAGGAAATATGGAGCACATGTACCCATGTTCATTTAATTATAAATGCTTTATTAGTTTATAAAAGGCAAATGTGACAACCGGAATGAATGCACAACAAATTTGATGTAAAACATTGTGGTATAATAACTGAGGAAGCAGGTGTTGCTACCTATGAAAATAGGCATATAACATAGTTACTTCAGAGCTTTAGCACTGCAGCCTGGGAAAGGGGTGGCCCCAAGACCCCCGCAGTAAAACCAGCAGTGATAAGAGAGACCTGAATCCTTGTAGCAAGACACCTGAAATACATTTCCATTGAAATAGGCTCATCATACTAATGTCGTGTACTATCTTTTTGTAGATAAAGACCTCTGGGAAATAAAGCAGAGAGATAAGCATGCTTGACATGTTCAGAAACAGCCACTGATGGATCAGGTTTGAATAAATAATGTTGCTTTCCCAAGGATACTTCTGCATCCACATCAGCACTCCGAGCCCTGTTAGCTGTCACTGACCCTACCATGTCTTTGATAATTAACAGAAGTTTTTCAAACGGCCTCTTGCCTTGTCTCTATGGAATTCGTTCTCTGGGTCCTAGATATTTCCTCTCTTCTCCATCTCATCTGGAGTTCCGCAGAGATTATTGGCTGTACAGCTCCCTTATGCCAACAACCTTTCATCGGTAAAGATTGTGTTTTGAATGTTTTCACAAAAAAAACACCCTCCCAAAAAAGGAAAAACGCAGTATGTCCAGAGCAACTAATTTAGTTAAAAACAATCAGAGAAAAAGAAACATCTCGTACCAGGTTGTTTCATCTGAAGGAAAGAACATTTTTCAAGGAATGAAATTGTGAGATGTGGTCTTTGGAATTCAGTCAGTTGGAAGCAAGGTATTTTCAGCATGAAATATAAATTACTGGTGTATCTCTCACCCAAAGGCAAAATAGTTCTCATCTTTTTTTAAAACCCAGCCAACGGCATCAAAAACACTTCAGTTGGTTGAAAAACGAAAGGCAAAGCACCGACAAGGAATTCCATATATACACCAAAACTAACTCATACATCCTCATCCACAGTCTGCACCTCTCTTATTGTCCTCCCTTTGCATTTAATAACCTATATGCATTACTATCATTATTATAGTAGTAGTAGTAGTAGTTGTAGAAGTAGTGCTTTTATGAGTAGCTGGGTCATGGCTCATTTGTGATACACGATTTAATAATTATTGTCATTGCCTATTCTCTTATATATCTCAGCGGAAAAATAAAAAAAGCCCAAAAAAGTCACATTACCTGTCAGCCATGTTTTACTTTTTCTGATAAAGGACCCTGAAGGCCATAGCTCCAGAGAAATCAGAGATTCCATTTTAGCGCAAGTAGTCCATGCAGCACAAGAAGGAAAATCTGGGTCTTTTTATTGTTAGAGGTCATTCAGACTTTAAATTAATTGTGTGAGCAACTGTAATTTTTACTGCTTGCATAAATTTAAAACAAAAAAACAACATTCAGTATGGCACGTTTAATAAAGGCAATTATTTATATGAAATTTGATGTCCAGCATACAGTATGCCTCTAAAAACTGCATTTTAATCAAATGACTTTATTATTTTCATTCCAATTGAAATCCTAATTATTCAATTGCTTTTTTGTGCACATGTAACCTTTTGAAAGTTAGAAATTAACAGATTTAGTGCAGCATCATCCAGTCTGCTGGCTTCAAATCTTCAGAACTACTGCTCTGTCAGAAAGAGCATACTGGAACGACATCACTCTTTCACATGTGATTAGTTTGCCCATTATTGTCACATCTCCAGGCTCAGGTGGAAATGCAGACCTCCAACAGTCTGAAAGAACCTTTGAGCTCAAAAAAAAAAAAAAAAAAACTCTCAGAAGTACAAAGTGTTTTTGGCAGAGTGTGAGAGAGCTACCTTTTACCTCCAGGTTCAGAGAAAGAATGTAACTCCAAAAAATTCCCCAAGGGAAAAGTCGTGCACTTGTCCAGTACTGTTGTTTCTTCATACCATCTGTGACATTCCTCAACATAGAGCTTAACCACTTTTAGTAATTCTGCTTATTAAACAGAAACTTTTTATGAGCAGAAAACACATGATTAGTCCTTTCCACAGCTCTTTTTATTTAATATTGTGTGAAAAAGTGCTGTGCAACACAAACTTTCCGCATCAGTCCATACGACAGGGGTCCTGTCTCAAATGCCACATCCGCCAGAACGCCTACACTACACCCAGTGCAAGATTTGTGTATCCGTGCTTTTCTGAGAGTCATTACTGTGTTTTCACCAAGAGATGTCCAACTGTCTGACAGTCACAGATAAAACCTCTATTTAATTCAAATCATTGCGAAACTAATCTGCAGCTGCATTTGATTTTTATATTGTCTGATATTGAAGCCCATTAAGATTCTGCATTTCTGACTATTAAGCGGTCTACCTTACAAACTCTAATTTTAGCTTGTGGCTTTAAGTGAAGATGTCCAGTGGGACAGCTTGATAAGGCTGCAGAAAGAGGACAGGCATTTCCTAGTAGGCGGCTGCACTGCACTTTTTTTTTCGAGCAGTTTTGTAATTTCTACACTTTCCTCCCTCCCATCAACTCCTGCATTCCTCCCTGACCTTTTCCTCCCTCTCTTTGACTCTATAGATAATGAGTTTTAACATAGTAAATTTCATATGGCCGAAGAAGGCAGGATTTTTACCCACTACTTATCTCTAGTTACCAGGCCTTCCCAGATGGGCTGGCCCCTAACCTCTTTACAAGAGCAAGCATGGAGACAGTTTCCACACACACCTCCAAAATTCAAGCCTCCTGCATATTCAATACCCCATTTTTGTTGCTATTTTTGTACAATACTCTTGCTTCCACAATCATTACTAATTTTATAGTTGTCTGTGAGTTCTGCCAACGTTGAGCAAGGTCATATAATTGTATGTCAATCACTGATACACAAATAGAAATTAAGGCTTTTTCTCTCATTATAATCTCATAACTTATTCAGATAAAATAATTATAAGTCTACAGCAAACAGGACAATAATTTGAATAAGAGCTCTTATACCATGATCATAAATAGACCAATGCTATGAATGCGGTTATGTCTGACATGGTGGAGATGGGCAGTGGTTATGAATATTTATGATATGAAAACTCAATCATCTTTAACCCCATGTCCTCCTTTGATAACCATCCCTCCTTTTCCTCAATTTAGCAGCAATTTTCTCCCATTCCTGTCCCTCCAGACCTGCCATTCTCATCTCCATCATCTCTCTTCTCTTTTTTTTCCTTTGTCATCAACCTATCCACCCCTTTATTCTTCATCCTAATGGCATTATTCCCTATGCATCCTTTTATGCCAGCATCACAGCACATCTGTTGTTCGCCTTTGTCCTTATGAATTTTCTCTCAGTAAAACCTTTTTATCTGAAAGAAAATGATGAAAGAAAGGAATTTCAGCTGGAGTAAAAGGAGGGCAGAGTTAAGGGTAAAGGGTGATCGCCTTCAGCTTATAAGATAGAACTGGCAAATTCACCATGAGGAGGAACAAAAGGGGGGGAGTCCACAGGCTCATGTGTCACTGGCAGTAATTGCTGAAAACCAGGAGTATTTCTGTTTAGTATTTTCATGGAAAGGAGCGGTGAATACGTCAAAGGGGGGAGTAAAGACATGAGAAGAAAAATAAGTGGCTGAGACTTCAGGAATTGAATATGGAGGACACAGGTAAACTTTAAAGACTCAGGCTTTAAAATCAGTGTTAAAAAAAACATCAAAGGATGCAGATCACTGTGAAGTTATCCAACACCTAAAATGGCCATTGAGCAGCTAAACAGGCTAAGAAGAATTGGCCTCCTTCCTAATAAACTTGGCTTCTTATTGCTCTGATGGTTAAAAATGGGTGGCAAAAAGCAGGGGAATTGTTAGAGCTTTGAAATGCGTAGGTGAGGGGAAAAAGGACTGTTCTGAGCCTTACAAGCAGTAAAGAAAAATCCAGCCTGTTGACACCGTTTTCGACAAAAAAAAAAAAAAAAACACTGCGTCGGTTCAAGTTCAGTCCCAGTTTTTTACAAAAGGTTCAGCTCAGCTTGTATGATGACGATTTTTAAGATACAGCCGTCGGTTTCATGAGGGAATTTATGACCAAAATACAGAACAGTTTTCTTTTAATAATGTTCTTCACTTGAAATATTTTAATTGTAAATAAATTGATGTCCAAGTTAAAGTGATAAAGACTGGAGTGATTTTCTGTCATTCACCCTTCTTTAATTTGAATCTATTCCAGGTTGTATTAGCTCCTGGACTTGGTTTCAAATAAAACATGGCTGTGCATAATAAGGATTTAAACCATGATTTTTTTTTTGGCTCTAAGAAGAACTCTCTGTCTGCTCTTTTATATATGCTTTCACCTCAGTCCCAGTCTTCGCTTCTGAACAGTTCAATGGTCCAGAGTGACACCCCTAATGTAGTTCTGGAGGGCCTGAGGCCTGGCACCGGCTATGTGGTCCAGGTGAGAGCTCGGACTGTGGCCGGCTACGGAGCCTACAGCAAAGAGATGCTCTTCCAAACCCTGACTGACGGTAAGCATGTGGGTGGTTGGTTGGAGAGTGTGGAGGTGTATGACTGGAGGTCTTACCGTTTTAGAGGAAGACAGTGCTTTGAGAGGAACTGTATGATACAATTGGATGAGAATAATACAATTCTCTATTTGCATTTTGTCTTTGTGTGTTCTGTGTGTTTTAGTGCCCACTGTCACATAAAATGAGCCTAGTTTTTCCCATCTCACAAAGGCCATTTGTATGGTATATATTCCCCTTGCAGGATTGCTTCTTGTGTCCATGTGAAAGTGTAGACACAGAAATATAAAATGTGAGATATTTTTTTGCTCAGTATGCTTTCTGTATTGTGTATTTATGCTTCTGCAGATGAGTACAAGTCAGAGCTTGGGCAGCAGCTCTCCCTGATTGCTGGCTCTTTGGTAGGCGGAGTGTGTATCGTCTCTCTGGTAGCTATCGTCATCATCTGTACCAGGTAAAGACCCTAACATTTACACATGCAATCACTAATGCAGAAACACTGATAAAATGTCCACTGGATATATACTCCATGGTCCAATTCTACGGAAGCTTAAAACTGTATCAAAAAGCCTTTGCCATAATTTGTGCTTCAGTCACATAATCACACCTTAATTTAACCAAGGCACAGGTAGTAGTTATCTCTGAATCGGCCCCAGAAGGTATGACATGCTTTGTGTAACGGGTAAAGGAATACTGATAAAGTGCATAATTGTATATAGCATATGAATATGGAATCATATCATATACATGCATGGGTGAATGGGTAAATCAGTAAGTTATTATTAATCACTTTTGGGGATTTCTATAAGGTTTGAAAGCTGTTTGTCAATGGGTCTCATGAGCCTTTTTTCCCAGTTAAGCATTTTAAAAGTACCACCTCTATTTGCTGAGAGAGCATGTGAGATAAGAGTGTAAATAAACCTTAAATCAATTATTTTTGTGCTGAGTGGTTGGTTAGGTTATCAGAGTGCATGGCCACATAAAACAGTCCATTTCAATCCGATCCAGTTGGTGTCAGTAAGCTAGTAATTAAGTAATGAAATATGAACTGAAAATTTAAAACATATTTTACTTACAGAAATAACAGAATATTAAGTGAAAATGCAATGTTTACGGTGAGAAAAAGTGTATTATCTTGTGTTAATATTGCATGGGAGAACATAAATTCCGATTCCTACACCTTATACTCCATGTGTACAGATCAAAAGCTTCACCATTATTAGCTTTTTGTTCTCTGCCCGATAGCAAGTTTAACCCAGACCTGAATTTCTCCCATCAGATTAAAACTGTATGTGTACTTTAGCTTTCCTTTTTTTCCTCTCTCTTCCTGAGTCCATATGTAAGTTAGTCTGGTTGTGTTCAATACTGGCATTTGTTGAGTTTGTCCCAATACCCATTTTTTCTTACGAACTGGGATTTGCATATTGAAAGATAGTCTTCTTATGTCAGCTCAACGGGCTTAGAGAGTTTTTTCTTAGGCAGTTTTGATGAAGTATTTGCACTTTTTGTCACTCTTAACTCAAAAGCAGCACTTTTGTACTGGCATTGAAATTTTGCCTGTGTGTCTCTTTGTGTCTCTAACATGCCACATTATTGAGCTATAACCAAACCTGTTAATTTTTTCTTTGTATTTCTGCCTTAACCTTCAACTCCATGTGATTTGTAAAGATTATTTATAATAAATAAATTATCTATTTATTTAAACTGCTTTTCAATACATGGACATTTCGTGGACCGATAATGATAGACCAACATTTGTCCTTTGTCAATTTTAATTCCAAAACAGTAAATGAATCAAATCTTCTGTGACACCAAGACTAGCTAGTGACTAGCTTTTTCTCCTGAATGTCTGTTGTGAGCGCTTAATGACATATTTGGATGTTACAGAGAGCAGTGAATTTGCATAAAAACAAGGAATGGGAGCTGATGACACTAAAAAGCAAAGCATAACATATTTCAAGTAAAGATCTCACAAATTATCTTAACCTCACCTCGGAGAAAACCATTTTACACCAGCCAGGCTTAGTGAGGATTGTCAATATACAACATTTGAAACTTGTATGGATTGTCTCTGTTTTCAACCTGTGTGTGTCTGTGTGTGTAGAAGGAGTCAGCTGAAAGAGAGTGTGTATGGGGACAAGCTGCAGCAGTACAACGCAGGAGGAGGTATGGCTTCAATCTTTGTTCTTTATAAGGATAATTGAATTATCAGGCTCACTATCCTTTTTTCAGGTTTTATTTTGGAACTTTGTCTTTTTTTTCTTCTCAGAAGTAACACTGAGACCAGACATGTTTAGTGGCCCTACCCCCACAGTGACCTTTCCCACCCTGTCTGAGGGCCGCAGTTCACCAGGGGTCAAGATCTATATTGACCCTTTTACTTATGAAGACCCCAATGAAGCAGTCCGCGAGTTCGCCAAAGAAATCGACCCCTCTTGTGTCAAAATAGAGGAAGTCATCGGATCAGGTATACGTTTTCAGAGGTTTAGTGCATGTGACCTTTTGACCTGCTCATTTTCATTCTCATGTTTTTTTTCTCTTCTTTATGAAAAAGCTAAACAAAAGCTAAAATTAAGAAATATGTTCAGTATCTTCAGTATAACCGCATTTATTGTGAGTTTTATCAAATGAAAACAGATTCACAGCTCCATATCCTGTGTCCTAAATACTGCATCTAAAAGACGGTAGAAAACATAAACTTGATTTAATGAGACCAATTGTGTAATAAAACAGAAGATATTCAGTGATAAATGGCCTCATACCACACTTTTGCGTCAAAGGGAGAGAAAATCTGTAATCACGCAAGGCTCCTTTTTTGTCCTTTGAAGTCAGGGTTGATGTTTAATTAATGTTGAAAACAATTTTCTCGCATTCTCTTTGGCATTCTGCATTCTTGATGAAAACGCTGCATGATGTTTTGCAGTCAAAGGTTAAAAATTCATGCACAGTTGTGGCATCATGCAATTTACAGTCAGTCCAGCAATCATACTGCGAGTCCATCAAATCATCATTTGTTTGGGTATACTGTATATGTAAAACTATACACTGAAATTAAGAATTGTCCAAAATGATATCAAATGTAAGGCTTTTTTGTTTGTTGCCTTTTCGTTTATTTGTGTTTAAGAAAGCCAGATATAAATCAAAACTTCCACAAAGTACTGATTCTGTACTCAAACAAAATTAGACTTTTTAAGCAAAGACTGTTAGAAAGAGGAATAAAATTGGGTTAAGGTCCCTACATTTAACAACAGCCTCAGATAAAGGGAAATTTCTTTGATCTCTGATCCTTTATGTTCATGGACAGATGTGGGCTGCTGTGGACTAGAACCATTAATTCAGATTTTTTTTCCCTTTCTTGTTTTGGCATTGAAAATTAATTTGAGACAGAGGGATTAGGGCTTCAGATGTTTCAAGCATGTGGGCTGCTGAGAATATTTGGATGTTATTAAATACTGTTTTATGATAAATTTAGTGAATATGCTTGACACAATTGTTATAAAATCCAAAGATAAAGTTGATGTTTTGGCTTATGCAGTCTTAAGGAAGGTATGCTATCTGTTTTACTGATGTTAAATTGATAATCTCATCCAGAAGATATATTGCCTTTATAATACATGATAATATTATCTGTAACTCTAACCCATATCAGATTGACTCGTGTTTTTGCTTCAGATGATATACCCCTGATAACTCATCACTTATTTGGCTTAGTGGGAAAAACCAATCAAACCCGAATAGCCACTGAGCTCTGCATGTTAAAGGTCATGAGCCAGATCCAGACCCTCACCAATGTGAGTATGTGCTTTGGGCATTGGTATGCTGAGCCACTTTGAGAGGCTTTTGGTAATCCCTCCGTTTGGTGCTTTTTTTTTTTTCCTCTCAGGGAAAGGTTTCTACCATAGCTAGAGGTGATGGAGGAGGTATGGAAATGACAGAGAGGGAAGGGGAAATATGAGCGTGGGTTATTTGAAACTTGGCCAGACTTTCAGCCCTTCGAGGGCTGAAGACTGTATCCACTGCAATTTTTATCTCTTGTTTTTTCCATCTCTATTCCTTTGATACTTTCTCTGGACTTCAACTCTCTGTGTGATTCAGCCCCCTCTGGAATTTTACCTTGTTTGTGTATAGAGAAATGCTAAACAAAGAAGCAAGGGGAAAGCAGAACAACAGATTGAGGAGGAAAGATAAAAGAAAAAGAAATCACCCTAAGGAGATAATAAAAATATCCTACCTAACCCTCTTATTCCCTCCCTCTGAGATAACACCCTTTCTTTTCCTCTTATTCTATTACTATCACTCACTGTTAGAAACGTCCTTCACAAAATGACTTCATTTAACCAAAGAAAAATCATGAAACGTCTATAAATGTATGATAATGGGTAGAAGCATAATGCATCATGAGCCAGCGTCATCCAGCACCCCTTTACTCTCAGTATTTTTATGTATGCCATAGACTTAAAGGAGGAATACATTTTAAACCCAATGAAACTTCCTTGTGGTGCTCTGAACTCTGCTTGACCTCCTTTATTTTTGAGAAAAAGAAGTGACATGTCACCAAGATTTCACATCTCTCAGTGAGAATGACATTTTTTACCCTCATCCTTTCAACCTCTCCTAATTCCTCCCCCTTATTATCAATCCTGTCGTATTTTCTTCTGTCACCCTTTATGTGCCATCATCGCTCCTTCGACTCTCAGCTTCCTTCTATTCTCCTTCTTATTTTTGCTCTACTTCTGTCTGTGCTTCTGTTGGTTTACAGCACCGACTCTAGACGGTTTTTAATGAGCAGTGAGATGTGGAGCAGAGATCATTGAAAGATGTGACGGCATGGCCTGTCATCCAATTCCCATCACTCATCCATTATTCACACGCAGAGATTTATCTTCGGGGTGCAAACTTTTATTTTAAAGTGATATTCAATGTTCAGGTCTCTAAGCAGAATGCTGCAGCATTTGTTTTGACAAAAGCCACTGTGTTTCTATGGGATGGGTTTGTTGAAGTTTCACCCCTGTGCATTTGCATGATATTGCAGCTACCCTGATTAGAATCGCAGCAGACATGAACTAAACATAGGGAGACTAATTACAGTAAAATCCACAAGGCACCTCTGCAGCTGTTTCAGTCCTACCTGGCATTGATTCTTAAAGTCTCTGGAGGCCTGCTGGGGGGCTGAAACAACATTCCTCTTAAATATATTCTTGTGTTGGTAATTTTATGATGAATCTTGTTGATCGAAGTTTTGAAGTAAGTAAGGACTTTGCCTTTTACATGGAGGTCTTAAACCCTTGAAAAAATATTGTATTGTACGATCAAAATGCACGTGTGGCCCTGCGACTTATTTTAAGCAGAATTACACAAAAACTGAATGTCTGACAGGAGCCACCTCTTCTCTCCACTCCATGTAAACAACGTAATGCCTTTCAGGAATAGGTAAATGAACCATCTGCTACCATATTGAGTTGGCATTTTCTTCCATCTGTCTTACCAAATCTGACTTTTCAATTTGAAAATAGATATTTTGACTGTCCTTGGATCGGCTTTTTGAATAATGATCATTGTGGGAATTAGAACATCTTGCAGAAAGAAATCATTTCATGCTACTCTTGAGTAAAAAGTCATCTACAAAAATGACTGACTGACAAGTTGCAGGAGTAAAATTCCCTGGCAGCTCACCTTTACTGCTTGAATAAATGTCTTTGTAGTGGCCCTGGCTGGGCGAGCCTCCTCACAGTTTTTCACAGCCTGTCGGGGGGTAAGTGGGGTTTCTTCAGTTGCTCACAATTTGTGCTGCCAAATTCCACAGCATCACACACAATGGACCTTTCTATAGTGATTTTTACACTTTTATAAAAATTGAATACTTTGTAATAGCAGAGACCTGTAGTTGAGTATTTTGATATTGCAGGAAACTGCACTGCATTAGAAAGCGCTTAAACCAGTCGCATAAATTAAACTTGGAACGAACCTGCAGTATACGCTTTTTGTAAACCACGTTCAAGAGGCTCGACTTCTTTAACTGAGGGATATTTCAGTGAGGGAAATGCAAAACTCTCTGTCATAACAGTAAAAAAAATCACTTTTGTCTTGAATCTTGTTTGCCACCTTGGATACAAGGTCTTTTCTCACCCCAGTGAGCACTCATTGAACAGATATCTTTTTTGTTGTTCTTTCAGTCTGGCAAAAAATGTGCCCTTGAGCAAAGCCCTCAACCTCAATCTGCTCTGGCGGAGCTGTTTAGACGCCCTCAGTGTGAGGGGGGGGGGTGTGCGGCGGCCCGCTGCTGTACTGTGTGTTTGTGTATTTAGCCCACGCCGCTCTTCATACTGCTCCCTGCTGCTTCCAAGAGCAATGCACCTCTTGATCATCTTTATTCATTTTTTATTTTGAAATGTTACCAAATTATATGGAATGGGAGTACAATTAATTATTTGGCTCTTTTTCGTATGTAATAATTCATTCAAGACATTTGAGTAAACATCTTACAGTGGCGCTTGTGTTGTTTCCCTGCTGAGACACCCCAGAGTCGTTTGATTATACATTCAACACTTAAACTTGACGATAATTCGATATTCCTCCTACAGGTGAGTTCGGGGAGGTGTACAAAGGTCGCCTGAAACCTGTTGGGAAAAAGGAAATTCCCGTAGCCATCAAAACCCTGAAGGTGGGCTACTCTGAGAGGCAGAGGAGAGACTTCCTGGCTGAGGCGTCGATCATGGGCCAGTTTGACCAGCCAAACATTATCAGACTGGAGGGCGTGGTCACCAAGAGCAGACCCACCATGATCATAACGGAGTTCATGGAGAACGGAGCACTCGACTCATTTCTGAGAGTGAGTAATGTTGTTCCTTTTGAGAAGTGTTTTCTTTTACTGTTTCATGATTTTATTCCATGGTCCTGCTAGAATTTTTCTTTTTAAGGAATAATTATCATTTAATGAAACATTTGTACTCCTTGTAGCCCACCTCTCTAGAAAGCTCTAGCCTGGTCTGATTATCAAAAAATTAAGTGCAATGCAGCTGCTCCTTCCTCTATTAGACAGATTCTAATTAGTTATTTTCTGATGTAGTAATATTAAAAAAATGCAATGTCAATATTGCCCCTTGAATGCATTTCTGGAAGAGGAGACTGGCTCAGTTAAATGATCGTACTCTAACTGTAGCTTGAGTCAGCTGGGTGTGTAAACTTACAGAGCCGCTACATAACCAGCAGTATTTTTCTACTTCAATGTTTCAATTTCTGGGCGCGTCTGATAATCCCATGTGTTTTAGTACGTAAACACCCAAACAGAGTAACGACTAAAGAAGAAAATACTATTTGGAATTTTGAGAAAGAAATAAACAACCCTCAGCTCTTCCTTTACTCACATTCCCTCTTTTCCTTCCTGTGTTCTCTCTGCCTCATACTGCCAGCCTGTCTGTCAGTCTGTCCCACTCTTTGATCCTGCCCTCCTTTTGAGAAGACTCTAAAAACAGAAAGAGAAACTCTTTGATGCCTGGTTCTCACAGCACGACCCCATTTGACTCAGAAACCATGCTATGACTCACACAGACAGGCACACGGATCGATCTGGCTGGTGTTGTTGTCCTGCCGTGACCATCTTGCGGGCGCAAGACCTGCAGGATCAATGCGGCATGTGCTTGTTTGGGTGTATCTAGAAGAAGTTGTTTTTTTTTCCCTGAAGAGGATTAGTCCAGAAGAGCATCAAAGGCATGGTTTGATGCGCAAAGTGAACTGAAATACACACACTCACACCTTCGAGTGCAACTATGTCAGCGGGCGATGTCTGCAAGGTTTACACGACAAACAAAAGGTTGAAGGGGGAAGTGGAAAAAAAAGAGTAGATGCATTTAGTAAAAATTTCACATGAAATCTAACACAAACATGCTCCAATATTTGCTCAAACATTTTAAACAGATAGCATTTTTTAAGATCAACAACAATCAGTCTGTATTAATCCGTTAATGGAAGAATCATAAACAAGGTGGGACGAGAGTCACATTAGGAGCTACATTCTAACCTGTGCACACACAAAAGATAATAAAACTCTTTTTTTTCTGCAATTCTTTATCTTTCACCCAAACCGATCCTCTGAGTAACTCCGTACACATTGAGTTCAGTGTAGCCTCTGTGCAGATCTGGTGCAGCAACTGGGGCAGAGGGTCTCATTCAAGTGTAATGAGGGAAGTTCAAATTATTTAATTTCTCTAACCCATCACATCCTGTACAGGTATGCAGCTTTTTCTGAAAGTTGTGTAAAGTAATATTTGACATAGATTTGATAAACTCTCATTTGACTCTCATTCAAAATCCATTTTGGAACGTTAGTAATGTGAAGTCCTCCAAAACGTACATTCTTTTTCTCAAAGAAAATGGATGAGATGTATGTTTTAAGTGACGTGTTCTGATCACCTTGAATGTATAAATCTAAATAACTGATGAAACAATATGATATGGAAAATGCAAATAATGTTTTAATGGTTTGTGGTTTTCCAGCAAAATGATGGGCAGTTCCCAGTCATCCAGCTTGTCGGTATGCTGAGAGGCATCGCATCTGGAATGAGGTACTAACACGCACAATCACTTCTACTAAGGTCATTTATTTTCTATCAAAATGTAGAATATACATTTTCTGATCCTTCTGTGATTTACAAAGAAAGTATATATTTCTCTATAAAACTTTGTGTGTCATTTTTTTGTATCACAAACACACACACAGATGAGCTTGAACTCTACTACCTTTTATGTATTGAACAAAGTTACATATTCAAGTGGACATCGCTATAATTTGCAAAACACTCCAAATGCTCTCACACACCCACACAACCTATCTGAGTTTCTCAGCAAGTTTTGATATTACAAACATACAAATAAATACTTTATACATAAATGAATCCCATGAAATGAACATTGTGAGTGATAACTCACACATAGGGCCACACACTTTAAATCCCATTACCTTTTTTTATTTATAGTGGCCTAGCTTGCGAGGCATAAATTCTGTTGATGTTGCAGGTACCTGGCAGAGATGAGTTACGTTCACCGCGACTTGGCCGCACGAAATATTTTAGTTAACAGTAACCTGGTGTGTAAGGTGTCAGACTTCGGCTTATCACGTTATTTGGAAGAGGATACGTCTGATCCAACCTACACCAGCTCACTGGTAAGAGCAGAAGAAAGTGCCACTGGTGTTGGGTTGTCCACATCAGCATTTTCTTGTTTGTTCTTTTAATCATTTCCTCCTTTTAATAATTTCTATTGTTCTGTAATGTGACATTATGTACAATTATCAAATTAGATAAGAGACGATAAATGTGTGGCCTCATACAGGAGAGGAAAAGCACGTTTTATGGCCGTAAATGAGGGATCCAATGACTCTGAAAATGTTCCCTTTACAGTGTGCAGGGATTTTTATAGTAATAGTAATGTGAGCACTTGTCACGAGGAGGAGTTACCTTAACATCACTTTTTACATCCATTCTCTCCAACTGAGTTTGATGCATGTCAGCTGTACTCAACTGTTCAAACTGTTAAAGGAAAAAAATCAAATATGAAAGGGGTTTTTTCTTTTTTTTCTCTTGAAACAGCTTTGGAGAGCCTGACTGATGCGATGGGCTTTGTTGTGAAATCACTTGGTTGGCTGGCTAGGAAAATAGTCTTTCAAGAACATGCAATGCGTGTCTGTCCGTGCAACGTTTCCTTTGATACAGCATTTTTCATACAACAGCCAAATTATCCTGTTGTAGCACTACATTCATTTATCCCCAGCTTCAGTCATGCCTTTGAAAAGAGAAACACCAGCTTGGTCGTTCTTTTGTCTTCATTAGAAAGGAAAACTGTCGACAGGTGTTGATTCAAAGTTTCTTGAGCTGGTGCAAACATTGAAACATCTGCTTTGTTTTCACTTCAACACCAGGAAAAATATCAGAAAATCCAAGCATAGTGTTTGAAAATGTATTTAAGAATACCACCAGACTTCAACCTGTTCATTTTTTAACGCTTGCAAGTACAGCACTTTTGAATAGTGTATGAAATCCATATGTTTCCAATCACTCTTCCATAAACAATTATATGATGAGTGAACTGATACTGAGTCTCCACCTTCATTTTTATGTCGCTGCTGACTTTGTAACCCCCCCCCCCCCCCCCCTCCCCCTCCTCCCCTTCATTTTGCTCTTAATGACGGATTCTATAAAGTGGGTATTTGTGTTTATTTTTTTCTTATTTTCTTTCTTCCCCTCAGGGAGGTAAAATCCCAGTGAGGTGGACAGCGCCAGAGGCAATCGCATACAGAAAATTCACATCAGCTTCAGATGTCTGGAGTTATGGAATTGTCACCTGGGAGGTGATGGCATACGGAGAGAGACCTTACTGGGACATGAGCAACCAAGACGTAAGTCGCCACCTGCTTTGTGTGTCTCGTTGTTAGCTCTCAATCATGTCTGTGACTTTAAAAGACTGCAAATACCTCCTCTGGTGTTTGTTTGTCTTTCCCTTTGGTGTTTCTCACAGTAGGGAATCTGCATGTCTAAGAAAATACACAGAAAATGAGAACAATTTTAGTGTGGCTCGTATGTTTGTTCTCTGAACATCAGCCTAAAAGGCACAGGATTGTGTTTGTGACAGGAAATGTTTCCTTGGACTGGCAGCCTGGTTCCAATGTCCTTCACATTGTTATCAGTTTGCCGTAGCATTTCTCTCCCTTCTTCTATTGAATCTATTCTTTTTTGTGCTTGCACCTCAATGACTTTATTAGCTGCATGGAAACTACTTTCATTGTGCTTAGCTTTTGGGTTAGAATTTTTTATCAATTTTTATAACAAGCACAATCTTCTGATGGTATTATATCAAATACAATGAAAAGAAAACCACTAATCCTTCGTCTGCGGTCTTATTTGAACTGTTAAAACCTAAAGAGCACCAAGTAAAGGACATGAAAAAGGAGGTTCCATAAAATTGGATTGCTAACATATTTTAATTTCGGGGGAATCGGTTGTGAGAGTAAAGCACAATAGAAATTATAGTTAGTTTTGCCCCTTAAATCTATTTAAAGTACTGAAGCTCTAAATCCTAGTTCTTGCATTCTGAAACATAAATGATAGCTTTGAAACAGAGTTTAGAAGCATTCACCTTTTTCCTGACTGGAAACTAAATTTCTGACAGTAAATGTGACAGTGGAATTGTGCAGGTTGTTTTTCCAGACAATGCCAAATTTCAAACCGGAGCTTCACTTAAGCATTATCTAAACTGCTTTAGACCGTGTATACTTTTACGAAAAACCTTCCTCTATAGGGTCAGCTGTCGCACAATGGAGGAGTTAATCAGAGATCCCATCCCATCTGTAATACACACATACATCTTTCCAAGCAATGAAACTAGATCAGTCCCTTATTTCTATTTTGGAAGCGCCAGTTTACCGTCTAGCAACTATATCACCTTAACCCTGTCTTTCTCATCATATCACGCTTTTGCCTCTGTCTCTTAACTCCACCCACCCCGCCCCTCATGGTGGTTCCTGATCAACAGATCCATCTTAGTAGCTGTAATGACAGAGAGTCAGTATAATGATAGAGACAAATTCATAAAGGAGCAGACTGCATGACGGGGAGTGTGTGTTCCCACTGTAGCTAACGAGGGTTTGTGGGGGCATTAACTATGCATGGAGTTGACACCCCGGGCTTACATGTTCCAATCACACACACTAACACACAACACTAAACCACACATGTACAAGCAGACATGTGTAAAGACACACACGCCACACACACGCATGACTTCAAAGAACACAGGGCTATGAAATTGTCAGCGGAGCCACTGCAGGTGCTGTGTTCGACATGAATTAATCATGGCAAAGTCCTGTGATGTTTCACCACACTTGCTGCTGTTTTGATTGACAGTGGTGCTTAGAGTGAATTTATGCATTACAAAGCCTAAGAAGTGTGTCCGGGTCAAGTAGAGTTCACCTTGCAAACGGAAAAAAATTCCCAGCACTGCATTAAAAGTACTGGAGTTGAAAAGACACATTAGTTTGGCCTACAAGTTTGCCAGTGTGAACTCAAAGCCTTGGATTTACAAAAAACTGAGAAGACAAACAAGGTATTCAAGGTCAACGATGACGGCGTGGAAAGGATGGGGCGACTAAAGAGGCAAATGCTGGCAGGCAAAAGACTGCCAGAGATTATGGAACAAGGCAGAAAGAGAGAACAGTAAAAAAGGATGGAACACGAGAAATAAGGCAAAATAACAAAAACACTGAAGCACTGCAAGGACCCGCTGCCAACATCCTGGCGGACAACACTGCCATTGTAAAACACTTTGTAGAGTCTAGCAAAAATCTAATAGGTACTAAAATATGCCATTTTCTATTTTTATGTCTGTGCAGTATAAACTAAGCTTCTCCTAGTTTAGCCCTTGAGTGTAAATTGATGTGCAGTTGGTAGGTTATATGGATATAACACTACAGGTTGGTTTGGCTGTGTTTGATGGGTTGATGTGTAAAGCATAATATTTTTTTTTCCTCACATTTTTCACTGACCTAATGACCCATGATTATTGGTGGCTGTCTTTCACAACTGAAAAATAACTGGATCTAGGTGTGTCTTTTTAGAGAGCTCTGAAAGCTTTGTTTTTCAAAGAAAAACTTCAACAAAACCATAATTTGTAATTAAGCCAAACTTTAAAATCATATACTGCATATTAATGTCTTTCATTAGAAAAGATATCAAGATGTTGATTGGACCTCTGAAGAATGTGGAAGCCAATGACAAGTCGGATCATAGTAATTGGATTACTGATGCATGAAAAAAAGCTGCAAGACAGATATTATCTTTGACTTAACAAATAATGAACATGTTGGATGGCACATTTAAAGCCATCAGGGCACGACGCATTGGGAGTTTTAAACATAACAGCCATAATTAAAGTGAAGGAGACATTTAAAAAACTAATTTTTATCTTTCTGGCTCAGGGGGCGGAATAATTTCACATTGTAATTGCCAGAACTTGATATTTCCTTTCTTTGATTTTTTTTTTGTCAGAATATAAAAGCACATATTATCTTTGAATTTGTATTTCTATTATATCAGCACTGGCACTCCACATTTTAAACTGTTTGACACATCGCTGAAAAAATTAATGCCAAAAAGTTTTCACCCAAAACATTTGAAACTTACTGATCATTCTCTCTACCTGCACTGGCGTAGTGAATTAAAGAGCTTGCCTGTGTGAAATGTTCCCCTCCTCAATATCAGAGTCTGCGTGAGACATTACTGCTGCTTAGAGATGAATATCTCGATATGCTATGTGACTGCACGCTCCGTCTGGATCAGGTTCTCAAATGGAAATTGGATCCTCTTGACTAATCCTGTCAAGTGAAAAAGGCTGAACTAGGCAAGATTGTTCCGTAAAATGCACCTGTGTTATTCACTGAAATCACAAAGGAGCTGTTAAAAAAAAAAAAAAAAAATGGTCTCCTTCTAACAGCCGCTGGAGTGCTTGAGTCAGTGTTTGAAAATTATTTTTTTTAATTAATTTAATACCTACAACAAGGACCGAGGTGGGATAAACTGTCACTTCACAAGAAGAAATCTCTGTCAAAATTATTATTTCGCTGTTGTGAAAAGTCGGCTTGTTTTTAACAAAAAAAAAATCCCCCTTTTTATCATCTGAACACTCATGATTATCTTCGAGTTATCAGCTCCTGAACTGATACTCCCAGAAGACAAACCCTCTGCTTGTGAAGTCTGTTTTTTTATACTGACCAACTGCCAGAGTCATTATGAATATTTAATACTCTCATCCTGCAAACATTTGCACTGATCAACCCTCTGAGCCCAGTACGACCTCAACCTAACCTGACATTTCTATTTTTTCTTGATTTACATTTAACAAGAAAAAGTCATTTTTTTAGACACCAGCGTGGCTTTAGTGTTATTTTTAGTTTCCGAAGACATGGAGGGCAACGTACATTAAACTCCTCAGTTCCACATGCTTATCTTTTCATATTCCACGTTTTCCAATTCTCACCCAGCACAGCACGGAAAAAGTGGGAAATCGTTGGATAGAACTGCACCAAAATGCTGTGGGTTGATGTTAATGTGTGTTCAGTCTTACGGACGCTCTTCAGTAATCATAAAGATATTAAAGAAATCCTTATAGGAGCACTTAAGGCAGCAAGACACCTCTTTTAGCATCTTAATCATTTCACTTTGATGATAAAGATGCCATAATACAGTAAAGTATCCAGAATACAACATCATTTAGAACTGAACATTTCCAGCATGAGTTTTTGAGATGATATAGATCCAAGATTAATCTGAAATAAAGCAGGGAGATAGAAAAAGGCACAGGTCCAAATATGCCTGTTGGACTCAATCTTTTGGTCAGAAAATGTGTGTTTGAAAAGTGCAGAAGAGGAAGTCGAGAGTGTATAAGTGATCACTCTAGTGAAGGCTCTGGTTTTGTAACTTATATGTAAATTGGTCAGAAATCTATTTAATCCCCTTTGGACCCATACCTTCAGAATATATTTGCCAGCTAAACTTGCATAATTTAGATTTTAAAAAATCTTCTAATTTGGACAGAAAAGTTCTCGCTTTCACTCTATCCAAAGTGCTCTAAAAATAACTGTTTAAGATTTTCCTGACTGAGTAAAACTAGCACAAATCCAGCATAACAGAAATGAAGTTACTGTGTAATTCTCAAGTTATAAATCATAATCCAGACTTTGGTTGTTGTATTGAGTTTTACAATCTTAGACATGCACCCTGTTTCTAAATCTTTACTCTCTGCACTGTCTCTTCACTCATTTTCCTAGAGTGTGTACCTCACTCAACAGCGGTTTGTGTTTTTTTGACATATTCTGAATATCTAAGTTTGTTTTATCAAGTCCTGGTGAAATTGCTAGTGTTTTAGCATCTAAATATACAATCATGCTCACAAAGCAGTCTGCATTTTTTTTCAGTCCCTGTTAAATCTGATGATAAATTGGTTGGAATACTTATGAAGTTGGTCCCTCAACAAATACTCAGGAGATGTCAGGTGAAACGGTCATGAGTGCCAACATTTACTATGTAGTTACACATATCACACCTCTTGTCCTCAAAGAGATGTTATACGTGTAACTATATGCTAAATGTATGTTCGCAAGCTCATACTACGACGTCCACAACAGCCTCTGTCCTTTCAGCATGTCTTTGATTTAGAGGTTCTTTTAATGTCAAATTGATCAAACTATTTGGAACAGTCGGAACCTTTCTGCACCTGATATAGCAGCTGTTCCGGTTACTTTAAAAGGACTATTACCAATCTGACCCCATCATGGCCTCAATCACTAGATGAAAATGTATTTCAGACAGAGCCAATGTATAGAGCTGTTGCCAGCGACCTGGAGTGTCTGGAAGTGATTCTGATGAGGGCGACCCAAAGCAGCAGCTCTCTAAAGCCCAAACAGGAAGTTAAAAGCTGCTGAAATGGTTTGATGATGGTCAGATCGTTTAAGTCAAATAAAGTAAAGTGAAGGGATCATTTGTTTCCTTATGGTCAAAACAACTGAACAGTGCCATAAAACTTTTTATTTTTATTTTTAGCTACAACTCACATTATGGACATATGAGTGAACACTTGGCTGGATATTGGTTTGTGTTCTTTCTAAACATTTACTTTACTAAACATAAAAAATTGGTTTATTTTGCACCACAAAGCAAATTAAAACAAAATCATATGATGCTGCATCCAGTTCTAATCTCTGTGAATGTCTAGATCATCATCAGTCTATTTGACTGAATAAAAACAATCACATGACATTATCAAAACTATATTTAAACATTAGCATTTTGTATTGAATGTACTGCACATTATGTTAAAATGTTATTTGGTGTCAGCTGCAAAGGAGCGCCTGTCTGCTAACTGGAGGGTCAGCTGGTTCATCCTGGCTCTCTTGGACATGTGTGTTAAAAAGGCAAAGGTAGTGTGTGCCCTGCTGTGCTGTATAACCGGAGACACGCTGTAAAAGTGTGTGTTTGAAAGCGTGAGTGGGGTCTGTCACAACTAACACAACTTCAGCTGATAACTCTAACAAACCCAACAAGCCCTGCCTTCTCATTCCGCCTGGTCCGGTCACCACTCCGGGGGCTGCACTGGCCCCGACTCAAAGGCGTCCTCCTCTGTTTGATGCCCAACACTCTCATGTCTGCTGCCTGTCTCACCCGTGTCACCGCTTTCCCAGCAGAGGTGACAGCGACAACAAAAGCTTTATCATTCTGAGGCACTTTGATGCTCCTGCCACACAGGCTTTCAAATTCATCAACAAGCCAGCACCATCTTTAAGTTGGGTCATTTTGTTTGGTCACTGTTTTTACCTAAGGTTTACCTTGAATACAGGTCTCCATTTAGAAACAAGAAAAAAGATCACATTGTGAAAAGTTTAGAGCTCGTAAACGTTTGAGCAGAATGTTGGCACAAACTCAATTAATGTACCCACATGAGGAAAAGTGAAGCTGGGTGATCTACTGTATTTTTTACTTTCTACTTCTTCCTTCTGAGCAAAAATGAACTCTTTTAAAATAGTCATACTTAATAAATATATTTTTTTGATCACTCATTGTTCCTTCCCTAGCAATAAAAAATATATATTTTGGTTCAGTTCCACATTAAGCAGAAATCCTGCTTCTGGTGTGTATGACTGAAACTTTGGTCAAAACTTATATGAGGGGGACTGCTACATAATTATGATATTTGAAGAGCAGGAATGATGTAGTGCTTGGTTGCAACAAAATGATACATATTAAACACAGTTTTCCCTGTTTTCCGCCCCTGCTGTGCCCCAGGTGATAAATGCAATAGAGCAAGACTTCAGGCTGCCAGCTCCTATGGACTGTCCAGTAGTGCTTCACCAGCTGATGCTGGATTGCTGGCAGAAAGACCGGAATGCACGGCCAAAATTTCCTGATATCGTCAGCATGTTGGACAAAATGATACGCAACCCCGCGTCGCTCAAAACTGGTACCAACAACACAGTCCCTGGGTGAGCGGAGATACAAATTCATTTACATACACAAACACATTTTTTTCTATATCATCTCTCTGTCCCTCTGTGATACAGCTCATATCTTAAGCCCACCTTCTCATATCTGCTCTGTGCAGTCCTGTGCAGAATCCCTTGTTAGATCGAGCAGCTCCGGACTTGAGCAGCGTGAGCTCAGTAGAAGACTGGCTGGCTGCACTGAAGATGACCCAGTACAGAGATTCCTTCATCGGCTCAGGCTTCACTTCCTTGCCACTCGTCACACAAATCACATCAGAGTATGTCTGCCTAATGAACTGCCTCTGTTTTTGTCTTTGATCCATTGAGCCTGGATGTCACACTACTAATGCAGCCCAATTGGCTTGGTTGTGGTTTAGCAGCTGGCTGGATGTCTTTGTGAATGCGTGTCTGCTTCTTCGCATTTCTCATTTCCATACTTTGAAATCCATTCATATGTGGCACAAAATGCTTTATATACTATTCATAAAACTACAGAAAATTAGTTTATCCTAGGAAATCAAATAGTGGTCCACTTTTAATCTTGTTTACTCATTAGGAAATGTACCACAGACATGGATTTTATCAATGAGGATAGAATCGACTTGCTCTTGTTCGCTGCATGAATGAGCTTTTAAAAAAGATGAATTATCAAGCCAGTTGCAAAATGTGTCGCATGACCCCGGCTGAATCTTGCTGCTTTTACACCAGCATCAGACCTGGAGTTAGTCCTGAAGAGCTGCGCAATGGGCCCTTATATTTTTTTAAATGCTTAAGTTTGGTCAAACGCAGAGGGTACATTTTGCCAAAGGGAGTAATTAAGTATATTTGAAATGGTACCGGTGTGAAAAGGCAGCTATCAGATAGATGATCCAGTTAACTTTATTTAAGACTCTTCATGCAGAATGAATGGCTACCTGGGGAATTAACAGAGGGACAACTTGCCTGGACTCAGATCTCATGGGCTCTTAATTTCACTTTGCTGCTTGAATTTATCGTGGGATGTGTTTAATTAGAATTTTAAACTGCTCTCCATGATACTGGCTGTTATAGCAAGTATTAACTAATATGTAAAACATTACATGAGTGGCCATGTATTTTTGCATTGCCGTTTGCAAAAGATGTCCTTTCAGACCATTAATATAATTTTTACATATTAAGTCCTGTTTTTTTAATATGCATTGAGAACTAATTTCTGAATAAAGACATACCATTTTGCGCTGATGCAGCAAAATCTCATTTAACTATTTGATGTTTTCACAGGGATCTGCAAAGGATCGGAGTGTCCCTTGCTGGACACCAGAAGAAAATACTAACCAGCGTACAATCAATGAGGCACCACATGGATGACCAGTCTCCCACTGAATCTGTATAGAAACAGAAGAATTACACATTTTACTAGAATCAATCACTGCTGGTTCAGTCAGTGAACAAACAGGGTGTCAGCGTACAATTCTCTTTAATCCACTTACTTTCATTTTCTGCATTGAGAAATCACAATTCCTAAATTTTGCAACCAGCATGGACTTTGCTGTAAATGGCCAGATCTGTCTTGGAGTCCCTGGATAGACCTCTCATACCAGTTTACTTTGTAAAAGTTGCAAAACTCCCTGGGATTGAACTTACAAGTGATATTTGTTAGATAACCACTGAAAAGACTAAAATAAGTGGCACTGTGGCAAACACAAAACTAGCCCCTGCCTTTGAAGGGCTACTTTAAGTTTCACCTAAAGATCAGTCAAAGTCTGCTCTCTCCGTCCTTTTATTTACCAGGCTGACTGTTGAAAGGAGATGAGGGTTCTTTTTTTTCTCACACAGCACTCCACTGGGAATAATAAACTGGCTGAGAAAACGTGTCTAATAAGGGAAAGAAACTGGAACACGAGCCTGTTCCTGAATGAAAGATCAGTGGCAGCCCTTCCCAGCTCCAACATGTTGTGTTGTCACTCCTTTATTGTGTTGGTGTAAAATGCTGTTGTTTAAATCCAGATATGAGTCAGCCATCTAAATCAGACCTTTTTGAAGATCTATCTTCATATTGAAGAGTGTGTATATATTATGAAGTGGAAAATGTATTTCCTACTTGCTCTATTACTTTAACTTTAACCAACAGTATCTGACAATGTTTAATATCACGGGAGTATCTGAAAGTTTTTGCAGAATTTTCTTCCCCTGTTGACTCATCAACACACACAACAAATAGAAAAATTAGATGTCACCGTTATATGTTTTTGTACTTTCCACATGGACAGATTACAAGATCCGGCCCACACAAAGTACCTGGTTTATATAGAACTCATCAAAAATACCCTTAAAACTCATACAGTTACAGATCTGAGTCTGGCAATTGAACTGATAAGAAAATATTATCCAGTAGCAATGTTGCTTCAAACCAGGATCCAAATCACCTGCTTGGAGTTACAGAGGACAAAAATCACCTTTAGAGATGATGTGATTTGAAGAATTATCGCTTACTCAAATGCAACCGTTGTGTCCGGTGGATCTCAGAAAAGGCATTTTCATTTAATGTTCTCGTGATTTGGCTGTATATCCTAAATCTGACAGCCATTCAAGCATTAAGACGGACAAACCGGATATTCAATGCTCATGTTCTGTCCATGAACAGAAAAAATCTCATTTCTGTCTCAAGTGCGTGGCTGCAATCCAGATGGCTGTCATTACTCTACAGCAGGCAGCCTGGCAGGGTCCTTTGCATTCATTCATTTCTTTTATTCACTGGCTGCTGGACATGTTCTTGTCAGGGTCTGTTTTTACTATCTCAATTGTAGATTGACATGTCTGATTATTATTGTTGTGCCAAATTGTAGTTGAAACTTGGTAAAGTGCCCTGTCCGTATTGTCACCTGTACTCTGAGGACAGGAAGCTTTTCCAATATCCACATGTCTGATTTATGATAGAGAACTGGTCCTACAAGAAAAGCAATAAAAAGTCAAATGCTTTGGCTTTAAAAACAAAATTATCAGATGAGTTATCACATCTGAATTGAATGTGATATTCGAGTCACTCCTCCTCTCAAAGTACAATATCAATAAGGCCTGATCTCACTATGGGCACTCTGGTGGAGAAGCACTTTTTATCTAAGCACTGAGCGGATTACCGGCTGCAAAACAACTGCAGCCTCGCTCTGCCTTCAGCCCAAACCTCTGGTCAGGCGTGTGCAAGCACATCTCAAGGATTACCAGTCAGTAGCTGTGATTAGACCGTATGATTTTACTCGCCATTGACTGGGAGCCATGCTCACAGTGACAGACGGCAAGTGTTGTTTGCCATCACTTCTGCAGAGCACTGTGTTTGTGTTTGTTTTGCACCACTGCTCTCCACTGGTGGGACGCCCCAAAGTCTTTTCATTTATGAACATTGTGACATTGGGAGGTCTGTGGCCGTTTCAAACCTCCAAACATTTCCGTTTCAGTTTTTTTTGCTGAAACTCTACTCTGACAGCACAACCACAATTGCATTTGTTGCCTGGCAACAGAGGCTTATTGAACATTTTATCAGGAAGTACTGAGATCAACTGGGAGCGTGTCAGTTGTTCAGTTGAATAATTTGTTGTAAATAGATGCCTCTGGAAAAACCGTCTCTGCGATAGCTCAGAGGTTTACTAAAGAATGAGACAACTAGCGTGCCTAAAAGCTCATAATGAATGCCACTAAAAAAGGATAATACCATGCAGAGGAAATGAACACTATCATCACATACGAGCATCTTGCTGCATCACCTACTATCTGTAGTTTAGTGCGATGTGTCAATTACTGGCTTAATATCTTTTTCTCTCTTTGTAATAAGTTAAGGATGAGCTTTCAGACATTTCACACATTACTGTGTCCGTGTTTGAAAAAAAGAGAAAAAGTTGAACAGTCATTCTATAGCTTGTGGTTATAGAATGACATGACTGAGTTTGGGGAAAAATATTCAATGTCTTGTTGGAGTTCTTGAGAAAAGCCGCCTTGTGTTCAGAGGTATTTTTAAAAAGACAAATCCACCCTCAGTCTGTTGCTCCAACAGAAAACATTTGTTCTGTGTTTGTGGCCATGCAGAGCTAAAACACAGGCTAATTATATCTGTGCTGAATATCTGAGTAAACACTGCGTTCTAATTCAGGACGAGAATACATGTTTTATTCATTTTTTCTTTAAAAGTCAGGCAGAAATGTCACCAAACTTGACATATTTTGAGTTTTTTCTGTAAAAAGACTTCAAAAGTTGTCAGGAAATAACAGTTTTAAAGATATGTTTCCTTTAGATGCCAGCCGTGTCCCAGTTTATCACTGCAGCTGAAGCGTTCACACTGTGGCACGGATAAAACAAATAAACTGAAAAATGATTCTCAATACTCTTGTGATGACCAGTCAGAAATGCTGGTGAACACAGGAACACCACAGAAAACATGTAATTATGTCACTATGTCAGTCTTGGGAAAGTTTTACTGTACGAGAATGAAAATGTTTTTCGATCCATACAAAAAAAAAAAACATTAATCTGACATCACTGTTTCCTGTATCATTCAGCCACCACGAAGCCGTTCAAAGTGCCTTTTTTTCGTTTTCTTCCTCATTATACTTTAGCAAAGCCATTTCCTAAACAATGTAAAAGTTACTTGGTTTACACTCACATTCACACTGTTCAGTTTCACAGTTCTGAAAAGATGATAAAAGAACAAATGTTTTGTTGCAGTTTGCTTCATGCCAAGTTGACACTGGTATATCCGGCCTCAAACTTCCACTTCAGTCCAACTACTTCTCGCTTAATTATTGAGCATTGGGAAGCAAAGCTTTAAATATTATTCACACTTTAGATTAATGTGATAAAATTTTGTTTTAAGCCGTGCAGATGGTGACAAGCTTTGATCCCTCGGTTTAATTTAGCCACATTAGTGAAGTGGCTGTCCTGCTCACATATCCATCTTTCCAGCTTCGCATTTTGGGTCTGACTTGTTCAGAGTGTGTAAGCAGTGTTAGATGTGATATTGATCACATATGGGTCTTCATTTTGAAGTTAGTGTAGATGATAGTATGGTAGCAGTTTCATCAGAATTGGAGAATATTTCCACACATTTGCATAAAGAAATAAAAAGAAAGGCAAGGTTTGTGTGTTCCTCTGTGTGTAAACACACTCATTCAGAGCCCAATCAGAACAGTGCAATCAGTACTTTTGTCAGACAGCAAAACATCATATCTTGTGATGTGTGATAAACTCATTGATGACACATAGATGCTTTACTTAGGTTGCTGCAATTTATTTCATGTAATCTTGAATTTTTAGCCATTACATAATGTGACAAAATCACCCTTCCTAAAGATCTACCCATTCAAACTAATCTCTTGACAGAACACGATATTTCCAGATTTTTGTGTCATGATTTCTGCTGTCCAAATTTTGCGGTTGTTGATTTCTTTTCCACAAACGTGTAAAAGGGGGAAGAAGGCATGATAGAACATGCTAATCCATAGAAAGCTATGCAAGAGATCTCTATTGCCTACTGTTTGACGCTATGCTTGCTCTTTTCTACTTCTTTTCTACTTCTTTTTCAATTGAGGATTATTTTTTTCTTTTGTGCCCACCTCCAACTGGGGTAAAAAGTTGGAAAAAAGATGGTAAGGATTCTATTTTAGGACTGCCTTTACATCCATTCCGTCCATCATTGTCTATACTGTTTATTCCTGGTGGGGTTGCTGGAGCCCATCCCAGCTGACTTTGGGCAAGAAGCAGCGTAAACTCACTTCCATAGGCAATCCTAGCGTACATGTTTTCGAACTGTGCGAGGAAGCCAGAGTGCTCGGAGAGAACCCACGCATATGTGGAAAGTACATGCACAAATAACACAGAAAGGTTCCCATTAATTTCTTCTCCAATGTAGATTTTTAGATCTTCAAGCAGTATGTTCCCATGTCTCACTTTGAAGCTATGGACTGTGATATTAATGAATTTCTTAACATGTGAGGGAAGCATATGTTTCACAATATTTCCTGTAATGTCAGTCTCCCCCGTAATTAACTGTTTATTAGTAAGTTCTTTGCATCTTCAGAGATTCAGACTTCATTTAATAAGCAAAGTATCAAATGCTGAACTCAAGGCTTTGAGGCAGCAGTTCAGAGATCAGAGACTGATATCTCTGTGACTTTGCCCATGTTTGATTTACAGTCTACGGCCAAGGAAAAAGCTTGGTTCACTAACTGGCATCGCCAATCGCTTCTTGGTAATCTGATTGGATGAAGTTTGCTTATGACAGGCAGCAATAGACAGATGGTTCATCCAATCACCAGCCAAATATTCTTTTCAAAGCGTTTGCCATTTTCCAGACACTTTCAAACAACTTCCCAGATGGTTTCTTGTAACAAACCATCTGTTGTGTCATTTTAGTTCAGTATTATAAACCTATATACTGAAATCACTTCTCATACAAGACAAACCGCAGAAGAATAACTGATGGCACTTGGCAGCCGAGGACTAGATGGGGCGTTTACTCTGGAGTATGTCAGTAACCTCGGTGCATGTCACACTGTTCCCTTGTGCTTGTTATTCCCTTAGCAGAGCATGCTAGATAGACTATTTTGGAATTTGAGAGTGGAGTAGTGTAATAACTGCTCTGTATCTTGACTGGCACGGATATGCTGAGACAATTCAGCACTTTAATTTCCCAGAAGTGCTTCCTGTCGTTGCTGTTCCATACAGTACCTGTGCTTTTTGGCATGTTCCGCCACCAGGAATAGTGTTAAAAAAAGCAACGTGTCACATCACTCTCATCTGTGTCTGCAGAAAAAAAACAGGAAGCCTTTCATAAAAAATAAACATATATAGAAACATGCGTTGTAAGCACAGCTATGACTTAAGGGCAAAAATAAGATAAAAGATCTTTTTTTTTTGTCACATTATTGTTGTTTTCTGTGTATAGACAGACAGCATCTGACCAGTTTGTGAATGTGAATGTGTGCGAAACCACAGCTTATCTCATTTGTAAAGCTCATTTGTTGTTGCTGAAAATCACTGTTGCTGTTCTGGGATTACTGTCAGTGGAGACGGTGAAAAATGTCTCTCAATGTTCGTCTCTGAATCACTGTACAAAAGGCAGCTGCAGACAAAAGTCCTTCCTCTGTGATTCTGATGGGCTGACAGCAAAACCTGACATTTTACTGCAGATGTTTTCGATAAAGTTGTGATTCAGACCAGCAGAGAGTAAAGAAAAATAGACCACTGAACAACAAAGCAGGCTGACCATTGCAAGGAGAGTCTGGTCTGAGTGCTTCAGGGTGGATTTATCTCTTAATTGGACGTATTTTTTAACGGTTAGACGGTGCTCCTTTTGTCTGGTGTAATAGCTACAAGTGAGGCTGGCAAATGAGAGCAGGTGAAATATGATGAGTGAAAAAGTACAGGGAATAGAAGGGACAGGGATGAGTATGGAAGAGAAACAGAATCGTAATGAAACGGGACGGGAGGAGGGGCGAGAAGCGAAACTCATCTTGTGTTTGAATAAAAATGAGGCTGGGTGTGGAGAGATTACTCTTTCTTTTTGTCTTTCTCACTGTGCTTTACCCAGCCATTCTCCTTCTTCTTCCAAAGCCTATAACCTCTCTGAATAACTCACTCTGCTTCCTGTCCACATTTCTACTCTTTCCTTTGAACAGTTTGTAGGTAGGCAGTCATTCTATTTTAGATGTTCTGTTTTCAAAAACACTTTGAACTCATATCTCTTGAGGATGTATTAGCACATATCTTTTTCCCAAAGCCCTGTCAGAATATTGTTAAAGGTTTTTCCAGAAGATATTTACTCCTAAACTGTGAAAGTATCGGTCTCTACTTGCCATACTCTTTCTGTCTAAACTTAAACTAAGTCTAAACTAAGCACACACACAATACATGCAGAAAAAGAGGTTTCCCTATTGATCTTGTATAGCAACTTACTGCTTTATCAAGATAAACATGCTGGTGTTGTTGGTCCCTGGTGATCTCTTCTCACCGTACTATCTCAGCTATTGGACAGAATCTCTTGAAATGTTTTTTTTATTATTTTTTTATTGTTCTAACTGTGATGACCTGTTCACAGTGCTGTCATTAGATTCAGATGTTCGTCTGGTGTGGTTCATGACCTCATAAGTGCAAAACTGCATCAGACACAGCTGCATTTTGTGTTTTGTGCCAATTAAAAACATATTAGAATACTTGTCACCCACATGAATAAAGATACACTTTAAGTTTACTTGATCAGCAGGTCGTCGCACGTTAGAAAGTAACTGAAAAGCAAGCTGAGCCAAAGTCCAGATACACAAAGCCACTGACGTGGATGTTCCATTTGCAGCTCTTGATACTTCTGCAGAAAAAATGCATTGGTTTGACCTTGATCCTAAAACTGTGAACATTAAAGTTTTGTTTTTACTTGTGCAGAAACTTTTGCTTCACAGCGTCGGCTCTTTTGAGCTTTTTAGTGAATGTTTTATCGAACTAATCAGAACTTCTGAAATCTGCCTGGAAACAAACATCACGGTGAACTTTACTTCTTTTTAGATCTCCTCACGCTAATTTATTTTCATTCAGCTTGCTTGCCATTTCTTTGAGGATGTATGTAAAAAAAAAAGATTCTTTGGGAAAAAAAGAAACAGCTCAATGATCGGCTGCCTTTTCTCTGTTTACCTACAATACTGTTTTTGGTGTAAAATACTCATATATTCAGAGCATCCCACTGTTATGTATTATGAAACTGTAAAATAATGTGAGTATGCGCACACATGTGCATTTTTGTGTGCGTGTGTGAAATATTGTGAGTGTGCTGTCCAGTGTACAGTAAAAAATGTTTGTACATTGTGCGTGTGAGTTTGTAGCTGTAACTTTCTGACTCTTACATTTACAATGCACTGTTTGTCAATAAAGAGGACATCAACCTGATAAGTTGTGAGTATCTGCTAACTGTTCCGCATCAAAACTGAACCGAAACAAGACTGAAGTTCATGTTCATGTTTTTTACAGCATTTTGCATCACATTTAAAACTCAGTGTCAGTATTAATTTGGAATGTTTTAAAGATGTGAGCACATACATCTTAAATGCAGTCTTCCCAAAGTCTATCTTTTCTTCTCTATATTGTCTTAATCCAATATGGTTGAAAACCTAGTGATGAAAAGATGTTATTTCATCACACCAATTTTCTATTACTGGAATATGATGAGAAGAAGTTCTAAAGGAGAAAGTGTCTTATTTACTAGACAAGGTTGTTTATACAGTATAACCATAACAAAAAAATTGTGTGGCACCACAAACGATGAGGAAACAAAGGAAGATAACACTTGGACAATCTACAATTGTGTGTTCTTTGCTGAACCGCAGATGACACACGTACCTGTACGGTGCCATACTTTCTGTTGAATTCACTGCTGCAGGCAACTTTAAGCCCTAAATTTTACTTGATGTACTGGGTGATAAATTTCTCAGTAGATTAGGGAAGACAGCTGCATTCTGAAAAGTAATAAGTAAGGTAATAAAACTCCCTAATGAGTTCCTTTTATGCCAGCAGACTGAATAAATCATTTGTAACGAAGAGTCTTTTTTTTATATGTGAGCAAGTCATGTTTTTTCTGCATTCTTTGTTAGTGAATGTCAAACTTTACAATTTTCCAGAATGAGTTTGAAATATAAGAGGAAGCGACCTTTTAAACTACTGAACTTGCAATATAATTCCCAAAAAAATACAAACTCGTGAGATGCTATAAATGATATGAATCACATTTAAAGCTAGATTTGCCAACCATAGATTATTTACATTTATTTATTTAGTGTGACAGTTTGTCAGAAACAATTTACAATGTGGTGTTTTCGGACAGGCTTTGAAATGTTTTGATGTTTTGCAGGAAGTTTACTATTGTTCATGATGTAAACAGATGTTTTAATTGTTGATCTTTTAATTTAGCTTGAAAAGAAAAAAAATCGGTTTCCTCAAGTCTTAATTTTAAACAACAGCCTGCAAAGCAGTGAACTGTTCATATTAAAACAGTCACACCTTCTAAAATACACATATCAATCAATCACAATTAGGAATCACAATTAGGAGGCACAGACCGTGTTGGAAAATCAAGTTAACCAAAAAGAGAGGAACGATCAGTGTCGTAAACCACAAAGGTAGGTGACTAATGGTCACCCCTTTCCACTCTATTGAAAGTGGAAAAAGCAAATAATGAGGACAGGATTGAAGCTGTTTAATTCAAAACTTCTGTTCCTCCAAACTATTTCTGTGAGCTTTTAGAGTTTAGCTGTAAAACCTAAGCTTAACAGAAGATAAGGCTCTTATTCTGTGAGTTAAGACCTATCTGTGTCTCATTGCTATCAGAGTTTAGAGAGACAGGCCAGATGAGGTAAGTTGTGCTCATATCTTATGAATGATACCATGTGTGCAGCCTCGGCCCTCTGGCTTCCAGGGTTAATGGCTTTGAGTAGTGACAGCCCAAAGCCTGGCCAGGCGTGTAAGAGAGGGAGCGGAGCGCCAGGCGTGGCAGCATGACTTCATCAGCAGAAGAAAGAGTGAGTGACACCAGGAGGCTATAAGAGAAAATAGAGAAGAGGGCAAAGAGAAATATATATTTATATATATATATGAAAGAGCTTGTTTGTGTGTTATGCACAGTGAGTCATCTTCAAACTGTCTCAGTACAACACAAATCCGTCTTCTCTCCTCCTCCATCAACCCCTACAATAAATAATTGACTCTTTTCTGACACTGGTCCACCGGTGTGAATCATTTTGCTCGTCAGACTTCAGGGATGATATAGTGTGCCTTCATCTTTTCATATCTGCCCTGGTTTGTCTTTCATCCTCTATCTTTCCCTCATAAAACTCTCAGAAAAAAAACGTGATTTTCTTCTCTTTTTTGCGAGGAATGAATGTTTATCAATTATTAAGCAGCAGTCAGTAGCAGCTATCTCTATCTAGTAGGCTTTAAAATAAATATGACAGCATCTGCAGTCATTTGCAGGGATTTTGCACCAAGACCTCTCCGGCTTTCAGGATTCTGAGTCTATGTTTACAAGCAAAGCACAACCTTAACATAAAAAATGACCAAAGCAAAATTTTCCATTTTTTTTTCCAAGCAGGGATTGTTTCAGTGCTCTGAGCTTTCCCCTGTAGTTCGGTTTTCCTTTCAGTCTCTACAGTGTAAGAGCTCTTCAACAGGAACACCTGCTCCTCATTAGCTACTTACTGATGTTGAACAAATTCCACAAGCTGATTCATAACTACTAATCTCGAAGCTTTAGTTTTCCAACATTAGCCGTATTTGACAACTCTCTGCATGCCGCCGATTTGTGTTCTTTCAGTCTTGCTTTTTGTAATATGAAGTTTACTTTGATGTAAGATAGTTTCTTTAAATCCAGCACAGCCAGTTAAAGCCCCTGAGTGCTTTTAATACGTATCTGCAGGACTATGCAGTGTATAAATTCACCTTATTTGGTATTCCATATACACAAGTCACGGATCAAAAAGAGCCAGAATCATGGTCATTCGCTAAAAGTTAAAGTTCCTGTGATGATCCTTTGTTATTATCCATAAAAATAAAGCTCTAGGCTAGAACTACAACTTAAAAAGTGCCCTTTTTTCCCTCCATTACCCTCTTATTAAGAATTAATTATGAATGTTATGCTGCATTTCCTGCTAACACGTCACCCCAAATCTCCGACTAGGGCATGGAGATATGTGCCGATATAGCAGATTTGACTTTGAATAACAAATGGCTGCTTTGACTAGTACTCAAAAGATACAGTATTTGTAGAGTCCTTGTGTTCTTGGTCAAATGAATTCTTTGTACATTCTCCAGGGACTGAAGACAGTGAGTCACTGCTTCAGAGGGGTAGTCCACAAAACAGCAAGTGACATCTCCATATATTTACATTCTATAGGGAAAACTATACCTGTTACATGGGCTCTGCTGTTTGCTTTCTATTTAGATCCTGGATTTTTCTTCTAATTTAGTCAATTTTATCTATAATACAATACTTTCCAGCAAATATCTGATTTCCCTATGTTTGTGAGTTGCTGGATGACAGTCTAATAACACTCCACCAGCTTTTTTCAAAACCCATATTGTTTATCTATCATTGCAAAGACACTGAAAGCCAGATATTTGATTGATTGTGACATCAAGGTGCAAATTTTCAGTTTTTTCCCTCATTTGGTCTTTAATTTGTTGCTGTATTCGGTGAGGTAAATCACTTTTTTTTTACACACTATAATGTTACATTTTAACAAAATGTATTTACCAACTAGCAGGGAAGCTTTCAAAGTGCAAAAAACAGAGCATTCCAGTGTATGAATAGAAAACATCTACTCAATCAGAAGCAAAAGTGTAAAAAAGTAGAGGAAACCACGGCAACAACAGTGTAATAAATTTGAGTTCAAAGTGGCACTTAACCCCAACAGGAAGAAAACACTTGGTTTAAAAAAAGATTTTCCCGTGAGCTGAAGTTGTGACATGCGACTTAAATCACTCTTGACCTCGTCATGCCACACTGTGTCGCAGTGACACACAACGGGGTCCGATGTCGTCACAGAGGAGATACAAGAGTGATCCAGTGACTGTTTTTGTCAAGCTCAGATTGTAAAATACTGCAGGCTGGTCTGTGCTGTTCTTGCTTTCATGTATCAACTTGTGATCGTCATCTTGATGAACTCAAGCAATGGCTTTCCTTACGCTGCATCCAGATGAAATTAACCTTTCACTGAACGTCCTAATTAAAGGAATTTGGGTCATACCCAACTTTTGTGCTCAACTCCTTCAGTTAATTTGAACTTAGTATCTCCCTGAATTTATCACCAAAGGCAATTCAAGATAAGATAAACATGTTGCTTCTGTTCAAATTATTCTGCAGTCTCATTGATTTGGCACTCTTGCGAAAAATGTAAAGTTGAAACAGTCAGCTCACTAAATTCAGCAAAGTTAAGCTACAGTACGTGTGTTGCATGTTTGATAATATTAACATCTTTGAATTAGCTAAAAATTCTAATTATACAGATTACAGAGAATGATCAACATCACCTCTGATCATCTGCATTTATAGAATATGTCTCACCAGTTCCTCTCCACACCATCTTT